GATGCTGCGCGGCGCTCAAGCGCGTGAGATATGGAGCTTGTTTCAGGGCGCGTCGGAGAAACAAAGCTGTCGTTCTTGCCGAGCACTTCATGAGATTAAAGAGCGAGAGACGGCGCCCTTTTCTCTACAGTAGCTGAACCATCTTAACGGGGAAATAAGTTATTCTAAAAGGAGCCCTTGGTAGGCGGCGTGGCTGGAGAGCAGCCCAAGATTTAAGAGTCGTGGATGGCGAGGGGGGCGGCGGGAGCGGACGCACCTCGCAGTATCGATCGGACCCTGAAAGCACCGTCTCCACCTCCCCACACCCCCCCATCCACCCGCCCCTGGCCAAGCTCGCCACATTGGTGTCAGAAGTGGGATATAGCTACTAGAATGCAGATGGAGATTGAAGAGCTGGAGAGGTCCCTAGAGCAGACCCAGGGCCACTTGAGAGGCCTGATGCGGCAAAATATGGAGTCTCAATCAAGCCAAGGACATCAGTCAAACTACCCAAATACAATGGGACAACACAGCTGGAGCCATATTTGTCACAAGTCCATCTAGCAGCCCAACACAACGGCTGGGACAGCGAAGAGGCTGCCACCCATCTAGCCCTAGCATTAGAAGGCAAGGCGGTGCAGGTACTTTGTGACCTAGCTCCAGCGGAACAAGGGAACCTACAGGCCCTAACAATGGCGTTAAAGAGGAGATTTGGACAGCGGCTCCTTGTTGACCAGAGCAGGGAGGAACTAGCCACCCGCCGCCAAGGAGAAGAAAGTTTGGGCACCTTCACAGCAGATGCGCAGCTACACGCTCGACTGGGTTACCCGCACTTCCAAGCAGCGGCGCAAGAAGAACTAGCCCTCCACGCTTTCCTGAGAGGACTTGCACCTGAGCAGTTGCGTCAGCATGTCGCTCTCGTCAGACCCCAGACCCTTAGTGATGCACTCCACAAGGCTGAACGAGCAGAGGGAGTACTCACCGCATGGCCCAGCCAGAAAAAAAGTCTCCGCCAACAGCCATGTGTCAGGCTTACCGATTATGACCAGGAAGAAGAAGCAGAAGAGGTCCGTCAGGTGAGGCCTCCACCACAACGGATGCAGCCCTGGCCTCCAGCACCCAGGCGGCGTCCCCCCCAGCCTACTGACTGCTGCTATCGTTGTGACGAACCGGGTCACATAGCCAGAAATTTCCCAGCCCCAACTCCGAAACCCAGAGCCACTCCACCAGCGGGAAACAACAGAGGAAGGGTGTAGCGAGGGGTGCACCATTCCGGCCTCCAGTCCCCCTCCATGGCCGATGCACTTTAGTCGGCCGCCTCGGACACACTGAAGGGCTGTACCTGAACTGCAAACTGGATGGCCAACCGTGTCGGGCATACTTGCGGCAAAAGACAAAGACTACACGCAGACGGGGTTGGTCCAGCACTCCATCCATACCGGCTCTGCACAGCCCATCCGTCTGCGGCCCAATCGAATTGCCCTCAGTAAACAGCAAGCTGCGGAGGAGAGAATTCGCAAGATGGCTGCTGCAGGAGTAATTGAGCCCTCGGACAGTCCATGGGCAGCCCCGGCCGTACTGGTAAGGAAGAAGGACAACAACTAGCGGTTCTGTGTGGACTATCGACGTTTCAACAATGTTACCAAAAAAGACTCATACCCCCTCCCTCGTATTGACGATGCTCTTGATTACATCGCGGGGTCCAGCTGGTTCAGCTCCCTTGACCTGCGCAGCGGTTACTGGCAGGTAGAGCTGGCCCCCGAGGCAATTCCGCGTCATGCCATTCGGACTCCGGCGACATGCCGGCTGCGTTTGAGCGGCTGATGGAAAGGGTGCTGGCGGACATTCCCCGGAATCATTGCGTTGTGTACCTTGACGACCTGCTGGTACATGCCAATGACTTCGACAGAGCCCTTATCAACCTTCTAGAAGTGTTCCCCGCCATCCGCCATGCCCGGTTGCGACTCAACCCTGCCAACTCAAGTGCCAATTGCTAACAAGGGAAACGGCTTTCCTGGGCCACATTGTCAGTGCTTGTCGTGTAGCTACAGACTTTCCAACCGCACGCTAGCCACCCAACTTGTTATCCTCACCAGCCAACACCAGCGTGACTGGGACCGCCACCTACCATTGGTCCTGTGGCTGGCGCATGTGTCTGCGTCGTTCCGTCGACGCACTTGTTTCAATTTATGGTTCTGTGTGTGTCGCAGAGCAATTCACCTCCAGAACAACAGGCGGAGTGACGTGTTTTTGTTGAAGACGACCTAGTCACGTCTATTTATTTATTTGTTTATTTATTTATCATAGACTTTATTGCCCCGTGCATCGACACTGCTGCTTTTCATCACGGACACATTTGTCCCGTATTTTCCTCCACAACTTTGTTCCTCTCGACCGGCAAACCGGCGTTTGCGGCGATCTCCCTCCGTGAATCCAACCCGCTTCTAAACCCACCAATGACGGCTTGTATAAGCGGCCATATTTACGCATTTTTTCCGACAAAAGCTCTTCAATCTGATCCGTTCTCTCGTAAACATTCTTCGTTTTAATAATGGCGGTATCGGCCTGTGAAAGCGGAAATGTGAGACTTTGTAAAGGACGTAGTTAGCGGACCAATGGCAGCCTGGTGCGCTGCAGGAGGCTTGCATCGCTTGCGCAAGCCTAGAAAAATGGCTTGACACACGCAAGGACGCAAGGAGGTGTGAAAAGGCACGCAAGGGACACGCAAGTGTTTTTGTAAATACAAAACACCCTCCTGATTATCAATAAGACATCATTAGTGTCCATAAGAAGGTTCAATCCATTGTTTATGGCTAGATGAGCTGCTCTGAGTGATGCAGTGTGTGAGTTTTAAAATAGTAGTTTTTGACAATCAAGTGCCACCCCAAATAAAAGACTGGCCAGAGCTGGCCCCCAGAAATAATGTCCTGGCTACGCCCCTGCCTGCAGGTGATCCATGACTATACTTGCACGGAGTGCGGCAGAAACGGGCCTATGACACCAGGGATTTTGGAACGCCTGTCTGAGGTGGTGTACCGGGTGCGCATGCCTGGCCGGGGACGTACAGTGGTGCTACACCGGGACAGACTTTCACAGTACCGCCCCCAGCTCGCCCACGACTGGAGAGGGCAGTGACGGTTGCAGACCATGTGCTGGTGCAAGTTGTTCCCCAAATGTGCCTCCTACAAGCCGACGACGCCCTGTACACAACACATATATGTTGGTCATGGTTCATGAGATGCACCTTTGTTAGAGAAAATCAAGATTCACCTGGGAGCAGTTTACCAGTTTAGGACAGATTCAGAAAAAAAGTCTAATGAAAATGTAGAGAAATATGTTTGACAACCATTTTGCATGTAAAGACTTATGTGATGGACTAATGCCTAAATGTTGTGGGGGGTGAGACTATTCAACAGACACCCATTATAATTAATTTTGATCAACATGACATCAGCAATTCATCATGTAAGAAAACACAGAGAATTTTATATAATCATTTGCAACTTGTTCATAGAAATGAGAAACCGCTTTTTTGATGTGCACAATGACACAATGATGTGGAAATTGAACAAGTAGTTTTGAGAATTTTAATTCTGATCTGAGAAATGTACCAAAGCGACTGAGAAAAACTGCAATAAAGGGATAGAGTTGCACACACAGTGAGTGCACAGTCCTGTTCATGACCATCAAGATCTAAATAAAGTCAAGGTCCACTAAAGTAAGCTTTTGGCAAAGAAAAACGGCACGTCCTTTGATATAAAACATTCCTTTCAGAATTAAAAACTTAAATACCATTTGTGTATTTTTCTATGTCCACTAATTCCATATTAAAACATGCTATTTCAAAATTCTATATATCACTGTTTTTGTTCCAGAGATGTGAAGGATTATGTCATTATTATCATGACAGGATCTCCTGAGGTATCACACTGATCTCATTGACACTGTGTGACTGTCACCACGAGCAGATGAAGGTAGAAGCACCCCCTCTGCTGTAAAGAGCGCCTCACTGGCCTGATCCATCTGCTTGTACAGCCTTTGCCTCTCCTGGCATCATTGAGCAGTACTTCAGAACGCCGCTACTCATGAACCTAATGTCAAAAGTACCCTGAATGGAAACCAAAGTTATTAACTCCTTGAGGGATGGTTGGCCAACAACAGCATTTCTATTGGCAGACGCAGCAGGGATATTTTCATAGCTTTCACCACTGCATGTATGTAGGGTTAGAGCCTAAGCACACGTATTTATATGTATAACGTTACATATGTAACTTGCTTGCAACTGGCCGGTTTGTCAGCTTGACTTTGCAATAAATCGTTTTCTGATCTAAGTCACTTTTTACAGATATTTACATTGCATTCTCTATATGATTATACCCTCTCAGTACCAACCGATTCACTATACATATACAGTACCAGTACTGACCATGAGGAATGGGCTTCGTCACATGACGAGGTCCTTGTCCGTTATCGCACCTCCCCCTTTGTTTGTGTATTTTTGTGACATGTCATGTTAATGTGTTAACTTTGTATTTCATGGCTTTTGTCTCTGTTTTTAAATACAAATGTCAAATAAATAAATGTATTAATAAAATGATTTCCAGCGGCTTGATATTATCATACGTATTTCTGTCTATATTCAACATCACGCTATCAATAACGTGACAGAACTGTGGAATGAACTCAGCAGTTATTAAATCTTAAAGGTTCCTTCCCCACTTGGTTCTGAGACTCATGTTGTTCCATTTATTTAAAAAAGGGTTTCTGAAAAGAAACAGCATCTCAGTAAAATAACGGATATGTGCATGTTATAAATGATCTCTAACTAAACAAATGTCAAATCTGTTACCTGATTATAACACATCTTACAGATGAGAGATGGACAGAGACGGGGAGACGTAGAGGGAGAGGACGGGGGGGGGGGATGCATCCATGATGGTAGCAAATGAGCCAAGAGAGAGAACGCAAGCGCAGTGGCTGCCGGAAGTGGGAGGGGGGGAGGCAGGAGGGGGAGAGAGGAGGATAATGGGATTGGGAGAGCAAAAAGGAGGAGTAGGGACAAGCAGACAGAAGGAGAGAGAGACAGGTTTGGGGGACGCCTGACCTTAAGAAGGGAGGGTAGCTCCTTTGCTAACCACACACTCACACTCACACGCACACACACAAACACACACACACTTACACGCACGCACACAGTGCTAACAGGCAGAGGAGAGAGTGTCGACCAGCAGCCATGACAGACGCCGGTGAGTAGCTACATGTCGATCATCCGTGGTGTGTGTGTGCATGCTTTCACATGCTGTACCAGCTGGTGTGGTTAGTGGTATCAGATCGATGGACAGGTAGACAGATGAGTACATAGATATACAGATATACAAATAGGTATCAGATCGATGGACAGATAGACAGATGAGTACATAGATATACAGATATACAGATAGGTATCAGATCGATGACAGGTAGACAGATGAGTACATAGATATACAGATAGGTATCAGATCGATGACAGGTAGACAGATGAGTACATAGATATACAGATAGGTATCAGATCGATGGACAGGTAGACAGATGAGTACATAGATATACAGATATACAGATATACAGATAGGTATCAGATCGATGACAGGTAGACAGATGAGTACATAGATATACAGATAGGTATCAGATCGATGGACAGGTAGACAGATGAGTACATAGATATACAGATATACAGATAGGTATCAGATCGATGGACAGATAGACAGATGAGTACATAGATATACAGATATACAGATAGGTGTCAGATCAATGACAGGTAGACAGATGAGTACATAGATATACAGATATACAGATAGATATCAGATCGATGGACAGGTAGACAGATGAGTACATAGATATACAGATATACAGATATACAGATAGATATCAGATCGATGGACAGGTAGACAGATGAGTACATAGATATACAGATATACAGATAGATAGCCGGGCAAATACACACACAAACCAAGTACTGACAGTGTTTAAGGTTGGAGTTGATTATTTGTATATTGAAATACTAATTACAAGAAACCAGTCATGTCATACAGGATTTGACGACATCATGCTTTTTTTCCTTTTGTTCAATTTGCTAATTGAAGTCAGTCTTTCATTCGAAATCGGTGAAAATCAGCTGCAACATGTTGCTGTGTAGCGCAAAATAAAACATTTAAAAGATTACTGTAGACAATAAAAAAGATCTCAACTTAACAATGCAATACTGTAGTTAACCCAGGAGAGAACGTAACAGTATCAACACTATATGTGAGTGACTTTTTGACATTCTTTATTCATGGAGTGCCTTTTTTTATAACCATTTTTCTGACATCTAAAAGCTTGAAAGGCCTGAGTACCGTAATCAGTGTTTAAACACACAAAATCTGAGATTGCTGTTTAATGATTTGATGCTTAACACACACATCATCATTCAGGTCACTGAGTCCTTATTATGGCGTTCTTGTGTCCACATATATTATGTATAAAACTTTAAACAGCATCAACTATTAACCTCCATAACATATCAGAGAACACACCCAAATATAGATATGTCAAAAACCCTCTTAATGTGCCTAAAAGGGGGGCTTTAAATCTTCGTATCCACAGTTTCTAGCTTTGCTGTGTCAACAAAAACTTAGTTTGCCTCCAAAAATCCAACATGGCCACATAGCAGAAGCAGCTCCTTCCTATTTATTGTCCACGGTGCAGCGCAGCAGGGGACAAAAGGTGCCCTGCGTCTGCCACTTCATTCACCATTCTACAGCCATCTAAAATACAATATTTTGAATGATTTATTTGAACGAAGTTATACGAACCAGTGTCAGTAGAGTTGATTTGGACATCCTGTTCATGTCAATTCACCAATAGGAGGATTTTTACAATCTTTTGAAGAATTTACCCAAAGGACTTGAACTCCCATTATCTTATATCATTATATTCATTGTATAGTCAACTACCCATATGAACAAATGACCTATGAGACTTTACTACCACAACCAACTAATTCACATTTGATAGCAGCCTACTGCAATTCCCTTCTTTATATTCTGTATGTTGCTGCGTATCAGAGCCTGGTATTTACTGATGCCAGTGAGAATGAAAATGACGTCCTAACCTGCCTCTCACTCTACCTCGCTACATCATAATTTAACATTAGACATGGTGATGGACAACGATAGCCTAATGCTACCCGTGCATCACTTCTAGCAATTGAGATAACGATGGAGGCACTAGACAAACTGTAGAGAACAAGCCAATGGACAGATTTATGCTGCAGTTCATGTCACATGTCACTGTATAAAACTAAAATTTACCAAGTTTACAAGTTTATTTTGAAAGGATGCTTTGCATTAAGTGAGTATCTTTTGACTTGCAGTCCGGGAGACTTTGTAGCACTGACCATTATTTAACGCACTGGTGCAGGAATGTTTTGTTGTATGAGCCCCAGAAATGAATGATTGTGGGTCAATGTGGCTTTATTGCATGGTTTCAACATTAAGACGTGACTGATACACTCACTCTGTCCAGCTCAAACTGAAAATATCAAATTCTCCTCTGAATTGCGGTTGCACTTGTGGGGAATCAATTATGCCCACTCTCAAAGTAATTATATTTGTGTTGTCAATGTGTTCACAATGCATCCCTGAACACAGCTGATTGTCTTCGATGTGCTTTGGGTGCAGTTACAGCTGTACTTTGTGTTAGACCACAACCATTTGCCATTTGATCACCAGAAACCCAACGTGTTTAATCCAAGGGGGGGTTTGGTTTTGCAACCTGCCGATCAGAGGCTTTGAAATCTGGTCACAGGTGGATTGCCTCTCTGATCTCCGACCAACTACGACCAACTATGTATGTATGTGGAGGGGTCCTTGAGCTTACGTCAACCATTAACTTACTTATATGCAAAACGTATGTCCATAGAAGTAAATATGCATGTATGGGTTTTACGTGGGAGATCTGTAATTAGCGCCCTGGGGTTCCTCAGTTCTCTGTGGGACTGATTAGTGAACTGCTAACTGCTCTCTTGACAAACATAAAACGGAGCACACGAGCCCACGCTCACAGACACACACACACACAGACACACACAGAAGGACACGGGCATTAGATCCTGACGTATAGTAGGCTGCGTACCAGCAGGATAGCTCTCTCCATTCAGGCTATTTTCATTCGACTTACAAGGGATTAGTTTAGGTGATTACCATCTGCAGGTCACTCCTCACACAGCGTTTGTTTGTTTGTGTGTGTGTGTGCTTAAACTGTATGTTATGCCTTGTTGTTTGAGTGCATTCGTTTCAGTATCCCCTGCATGAACGTAGTGGTTGGAATGCTTGTATTTGGTGCGGCTGCAGGAAGCCACGCTGCACATATTCCTGGAGGCTTAATAATCATAATTATCAGGATCGTCGGGATCCGAACCTGGGTCTCGGTGTAGCAGGCAGATTGCCTACCACTGTGCTACAAGGGGTGGTGACTCAGGTGCAGAAACAGAGACGGACAAGTCGTTCGTAGAGTGAAAAAAAGGTTTCTTTACTTGCAGGAGCAGAGGATTCCATATGCTTGACAAAAACTCAAAAATATTCCTAGACAAATAAAAAACAAGGTCTGGGCATTTAACAAGGAAACTAAGGGTGTCCCCAAAAAGAGGCAACAGAAGCTCTTAAAAACCAAAAGGTATTAACAGAGGAACGGCATCAGGTGGCAAGTTCCAAGACAAACTCAAAAGAACTCAGGTGGCCTTTTAAAGGCTAGAAAACAAGGCACAGGTGAACGCAATGAAAACAATCAAGACCACACACACGTGACAGGTGACAGACATAAACAGGATCACTGAGGGCCCCACATGGTCCTTCAGGGTAATGCAGTCCAAAAACCCTGACGCATAATACTTTTGACCACTGCTGGTCAGGCGCCGTTTCCAGCACATGGGTCAAAATACATCAAAACGTGCGGCTGCATCTGGAATCATGTGCTGTGACTTGGAGAGATTGGGAAAAATTGCCCCATTGACTTAAATGGTGTTTTGATGTGAAGAGAGCAAAAAAATCTTCATGCCTAACGTGACTCGCCACACTTAGGTAGAGAAATGATCGAAAGTTTGAAACGTTCACAAATGTCTGGAGTTTATTTGGCCAAATGGACATTGGTGAGGTTGATGGGTGTGTATGGCACAAAATGTTCAGAGCGAGAGTGGAGAAACCGACAGAATGAGAGGTAGCATCAAAGTTGAAAAAAATAAATCTCATTTAGCCTTTAGTCCCACAATTTTCACTCTTAAAATTGTAGAATACATTATTCCTGCACTTATACTTTTGGCCACAACCCCCCAGAGCGACGCTGAGTCATGGAAAAATACCCATACACTTAACCTAGATCTTCCAGTCGGGCCAGAAGGGCCCACCTGGAGGATCTGAGGCTGCGAGCTGGTTCACATGGGGCTAACATTTCAACAATGTAGCTCGGGGCCAAACCCAAGCTCCAGGACTTGAGTAATGCGATGCCGCCTGTTCAGCCTGATCTCCAAAACCTATTGGTAAAAATGTATACAAAAATCTTGAACATACAAATTCGTAGTGATACATACTAAATAAATACGAACTGCAACTGATGACGTCACCCTATTCAAAGTGAATGGGGACCTGCGCCCCGTAAACACACTTTGTGAAGTCTAACCATGTAAAATAAACGTGTTATGATGCATTTTTAACGAGAAATCAATGTTAATTTGTAAGAATACAATACTAACCCTAACCCCCTCAAAACATCCAACATGGCGGAGAGACGTTCACTTTAGAATCCAACATGGTCCGCCATGTTGTTCACTCAAGGGGCGTGGTTAACCACCGCCAGTTCCTATGTATTGTTCCGAATTTGTATGTTCAAGATTTTTGTATCCATTTCTACGAACAGGTTTTGGAGATCACGTTGGCCTGTTACATCCAGTCAGCAGACTGGCTGCCGCATTCTGGACTAGTTGGAGGTCCGAGATGGATTATTGGCTTATGCTGGAAAGGGGAGAGTTGCAGTAGTCTAGTCGGCAGGAAATGTGCATGAATGACGTTTTTACAGGTCTGAGTGTGGCGGCGTGGGTTTAATTTGTGAGATGGTTCTTAGTTGAAAAAAGCAGGAATGAATATTTTTTTGATCTGTGAGTCAAACATTACACCAAAATTTCACCCTCGATCAGACTGGTGTTGTTTTTTTGGGGAACTTAATAACCTGATTTCTATTGAACAGTTAACGTCAGAGAGACAATTTAGACCAGCAGCCAGGCTGTCTGGGTCACCAGCTCTCAGAGGAAGAATATCTGTGTGTCGTCTGCATAGAAATGAAAAGAAACGTCTTGTCTTTGAAGGATTTGGCCCAGTGGAAGCATGCAGATGGAAAATAAAAGTGGGCCTGGTGGGACCAGCTGGGCAGACGAGATGGGGGGGAGCAGGCAGAAAAGTCGAAACTCATGTATTCATGTAAAGTGTGCGTGTGTGTGTGTGTGTTGCAGACTGTCTGAGCGAGGCCCTAAAGGCTATCAGTGTGAGTACAGAGCTGATTGAAGAGGAGCTCCAGCCTCATTTGGACACAATGCTTGCTGCCCTTCTGGAAAAGAGTAAGTCATGTAACACACACACACACACACACACACACACACACACACACACACACACACACACACACCTTCCACACAGCTGAGTGCTCTGGGACTGTCAACCCGTGCCCATGATTGCAGGTTGCACACTGGCCAGATACAGTTCCTGCCGGCACAGTAGCCCTATTTGTGTTGCTGAGTTGTGTAGCTCTGGTGGGTGGAAGGGTATTGTGCTGTACACATCCCCCGCTTACACAAGTCGCACCACCTACATGCAGAAATATACAGTTCATTCCATATGCGAGACATTTCAACTCATCGAGAGAAAAGGAATCCTTGGACAACAATGAAAAAGAACGATTTATGCTCTGTGATGAGAAACAATACAAATACAAACATTAAACAGGAATTGTTGTGTTGAGTGCGCTCCTCACATGGCTGACCAGCAGGTTTAGACGTGTATGAAGGTGTATTTGTGTATTTATTACACAAACAAAAAAAGCTGTTTGAGAGAAAATGCCTTGCAATCAAGTTTGTAAGTAAAATATATAAATGGAGAATAAAATGGTTTAGTTGTGTTTATGAAACTTGAATTTTAGGGTGCAAAAACTTTGTCGTAAAAAAAACCCTTTGGTTTCTAACCAAAAACTTTTAATTAGTTGGGATTATAAATTATTAGGATTAATATTACCTTGAGAGTATGAAGGCAATGTTTGTTATTATGTAATGAAAAACAACAAACAAACGATACCTGAGACCACTAACTAACCCAAAATACAGTTTCTGGTGCGTTTTTCACATTATCCCCAACATGTGCTAAATAATAAGTGCGTAAGTAATAATTTCTCAGAACAAGTTGTACAAACTGCAATATACACTAGATGTGTTTCTAAAGCTAGTCAGTCATTATAAATCCTTAGTACAGTAAATATTCATGCCAATGATCATGTGAGTGTGATCAGAATGATGAGTCCTTGTTCACGAACAACATGTTGTCAATGTAACCGTGTACTTTGACAGTATTACCTGATGTAAACTCAGCTGGTTTACATCATTTTTACATCAGGTAATACTGAGTAAAACTCAGTTTGACAGTTACTGTATTTAATGCACAGTACAGCTGCACTTCTAAGTCATATATGTATTTCAGTACTATTTACATATTACTGTATGTGGGTTATTGATGAAAGAGACTGGACAGGATTTAGTTTTTTACATCCTTTACTACGCTACTTTATGAAAGAAAATAAATGTACAGTAAGAAAAAGACAAGAGGCAAAAAGGAAAAAAAAAAACTAAATTATAAATAAACATAAACGCTGAGGCACGGTTCTGGTGCTTTCTCCACACGTTCCCGTCTGTCGGCCCACATATTGATTATTGGCTTTGAGGAGTAAGACTATTCAACAGAGAACCATCTACTATATTTTGATCAACATGACATGAGCAATTGAAAATGTGGAAAAAAGATGACACTTGTACAATCAATTGCAATAAGTACAAAAGCAATTACAATTTGTTCAAAGGAATAATAAATTACTTAAATGATGTGCACAAGTGACTTTTGATTTGGAATTTGTACAAGTGATATCAAGAATTGCACTTTTGATCTAAGAAATGCACCTAAGCGACTGAGAAAAACTAAGTTATCTAATTAGTTAGAAGTGTGTCCTCCCTGTCTTACTCCTTAGTTCACAGCGGAGCTTTAGCTCACCGTGGGCTGACGTTACATGCGCGCTGAAAGTGGGGCTTCGTGTCAACACAGCAGCCCTCCATGTCGTTCTTTAAAAAAAGATTCCACAACAATAAAGTAAAGCGCTGCTGCATTTAAAATCATTTTGACAAAATACAAGGTCACCTAACCTCCATGTCGCTGTGAACAGTAACCTGCGGTCAGTGTTAAGGACGGTAGAAGCAGACACTCCTGGCTCATTCAGGAGCGTCTGCCTCGCCCACCACATCCAAACGGAGACAGCAACGGTGTGGGTTGCAAACCAAAGTTGTTTCATCTTCGGGACGAAAGGTTTTTGACAAAAGTTTTTGTTTTGCAGCCAAAAAGTTTCATGAGCAAAACTAACAACAAATGTATTCTGTTTATATATTTTTACTTTCAAACTTGATTTTTCATTGCAATGGCAGAAATGTACTCTTTTTGTTGGCACAACAAAGACACAAATCTACCTTCATACAATATGCTTAACACAAATCACCAGTGAATCTGAACATCACAGTTCAAAATGCTACAGTGGTTCAGACCAATCGGCGCCCAGTGGTTGGTCTGCTGCTGGTCTTGGGTGAGTTGTCTGGGTGACGCCACCGGGGTCTCCAAAAGACAAGTGTACGGTTGGAGTGGAAGTTCACCTGCTTGGCGCTTGCTGCCAGCTTCCTGATACCCATGGGCCTAACTTTTCTTCTGTCGACCTATTTTGGATTTGAAAAGATTTTGGTTTGTTTTCCACAACCTTACGGCGTCAGATCAGTCTCAATAGATGCGCAAAGCGCAACCTCACCAACTGCAGTCTGACCTGGTTTTGAACCTAGTAAACAGACTCCAGGTGAAGATTTCTCCGCCCTCAGTCGTCCACTCGGCCAATCACAGGGAGGTCTCATTTACATTACATCACATGACGCTTTTATCCAAAGCAGCTTACATTGCATTTTTAACACATGCGTTTACATTTTTAACCCAGTAGCGTGCAGCCGTAAGGGGAGCAGTTAGGGGTTGGGTGTCTTGTTGAGTTTGACATTGTCAAACCAGGCAAAATAAATGTGGTCCACAGTGAGCACACACATTGTGTGTTTCTTAAAGCGCCCCTGTGTACCTGTGTGAGAGTGGCACACTTCTGTCATTTACTGCATTGAGAGGAGTCTGGTGGTTGCTGTACAATGAATGTCAGGAGGCGACCACACCTCTTCGGTTAAGGTGTATTTGTAAACACCTTAGTCGGAGTCACAGTCACATTTGGACCGTGAAACCTAGAAAAATGTTTCCTTTTGTTTTCAGCATGCGCTGGGTTTTAATTTTCCTGCATTTGTGTGTCCACAGAGAAGGATGCTGCTGTTGAGATCGCAGGAAGTGGGATTCTACCCACACTGGCTCAAGCCCTACGGAGCAAAAGCTGCCTGAGCTGCCAGGTGGCGCTGGTGGTGGCAGAGATGGCCAGAGAAGGTGGGACAATGCTACTGGTGTGATATTACATGGTGAATGGAGTGGCTTTCACGGCCTCTGGGCGCTGGAGACAACGTCCACATTCACCCATTCACACACTGTTGGCAGAGAATCCCATAAAATGTGCTCATGTGAGAGTTTATAGCTGGGAGACAACTAGCCGTTCATAAGACTTCAATGAGGAAAAGGGGCAGACTGGTTCAAGGTGCTAGGAAGGGAACAGTAACTCAAATAAGCACTCATAACCAAGGAACGCAGAATCTCCAAACACACAACATGTGGAACCTTCACAACGCTCATATCATCTCCTTAACATGAGTTCGTTGTACTCCAATGGCCTCCAGAGGCACCACACCTCAATCCAATAGAGCACCTTTGGGATGTGCTGGAACGGGAGATTCACATCATGGAAGTTCAACCGATAAATCTGCAGCAACTGCGTGATGCTTACATGTCAATATGGATCTGTGAGGAATGTTTCCAACATCTTGTTGAAAGTATTTCACGTGAAGTAAAGAAGTTCTGAAGACCAAATAGAGCCCAACCTTTTACTAGCAAAGTGCACATAATACAGCGTCTGATTGTTTGATTTAATCTGGTATATCATTGACACCATGCCCAGCTGCGCGTGTTCCTGAGGTTAAGTCGTCCTTGTGTGTTGTAGCTGCGGTCAGGGAGCCATGCATCGAGGCCGGCCTGGTGAAGGTGCTGGTTCCCCATTTGAGCAGCAATAACCAGGAGATGCTGCTGAACACTGGCAGGGCCATCGGACGCATCTGCTTCGACAGCTGTAAGTTATTCTGACAAAGCTGCCTCAGTCAGCATCTGAGCAGCAGGCTGGTGGATTTATTTTTGGTAGGACCAGTTTCAGTAAACATCCCAGTAATGATTCAATGCAAAAAAGGGTATCAAACATGCATTATTGCTTTGCAGTTAAATGTTTAACATTTATTCCAACAGTTAATAAGGACATTCAAAGAATTCAGTGTAGATGAATTCGGTGTAGAAGTCTCTACAGGAGCTTCGTATGTGCGGCTTCCCCTTCATGCCCCTTGTCTGGTCATGAGGTCGGGCTGATGTGGTCCAGCTGTTCTACCGCCAGTTTCTCCGGCAAAGTTCTTCTCTCGTACCGAGTTCAGGTCGGGTCTTCTTGAAGGACACTGCCGGTGGTCGCTCTTGTTATATTGTTAAACGGCGAGTCAGAGACTCGCCCTGACGAGAGCTCAGCGTAGGGCGGCGAAGGCCCCAAATCTCAATGTATTTTAGGACGCTGACATTATAATCACTCATTAACTTTATCAGTGATCGGCTAACTGCTTCCTAAGCCCGATGCCGAGCCCAGCTGAGACAAACACAAGCACAGAGGACCTGCAGGAAAATCATAGCCTAAATTCTCACGGATATCTTAATTTACACATATTACCGGGTATATAATCCACGTTTCAAAAACACAAATATTGACTATTTCTAAAATGTATTTTTAATATATTAAACAACAAAAATGATACTTTTGTTTCCCGCTCATGTTGAGGCCACGCCCCATTGCCCTCTATGGACCAGCCGCCACTGATAAACAGTATGCTTGTGAGGCAGTGAAGGCATCAGATAGTTTCCTGTGGTTATCTAATTTAAAATAATGGGTAGTTTCAACTTAATAGAATTTGATATGTATTGAAATTCAACCAAGTCACCACGTCAACATTTTGACATTTTACACGCAAACCATGGATGCGTTGAATTACCTAATTTTTGTTTTCAGTCAGCAAGTGACAACTGAGCGAAGGTTATTGCAGAAACGTGCAACAGCAATGTTTTGCTAGCAAATGGGCTACGGTTATCATGTAAAAGTTCCTTAATTCTAATGTCAGGGAAACGTGTGAACCCATTACATGAAAGAATGTCTTGAATGTTAAGATGAAGTTAAATAATGAAAGCAATGTATATGTGACTTTAACCGCTTCACCTCTATCTCTCTCTCCAACCTCCCAACCAGCACACCAACAGGACCAGTTGGTCCAGAGCGGAGTAATCCCCAGACTGGTGTCCATTATAAGGGAATACCCAGAGAACGAGCCCTTGGTCAATGTCTGCCTGCTCGCCCTTTGTAACCTGGCTGACATGGGTAATTAGTTAGTATTGTATTTATCTTACTAACTCATTAATAAGGTGTAACGTGAATTTCAGTATATAGACTTGTCCCTCACAGCTATGTGGTCATCTGGGTTGTGTTGTGTAGACCTGTGGAAGTGCATAAGTCGATGATTAGGACATTTGTTTTTTAGAATGACATTATTAAATGTCACGTTTAATATGGATAATAAGTGGGTCAGTATCAGGGCGGCACGGTGGTGTGGTGGTTTGCGCTGCCGCCTCGCAGCAAGAAGGTCCCGGGTTCCACTCGGCCCAGCGGCCTTTCTGTGTGCAGTCTGTCTCTGTGTAGCCCTGCGATTGGCTGGCGACCAATTCAAGGTGAGCCCCGTCTCTCGCCCCAAGTTGGCTGGGACTCCAGCCCCCCCCCCGACCCCTGTGTGCAGGACAAGCGCTTTGAAGATGGATGGATGAACCAGTTTTGTTCAATGCCAACTTTTCGTGAATTCAGAGAATGTAGACAAAGTTGTAAAATAGACACCTAGATGTGTATTTTGGAGATTTTCTCTTCCAAGTCTGCAAGATAATGAATTGTGGAAGCAATCCCTCATTAACAAAATGTCCCTCATTAACAAAACCTTTACCACGGAGAGCGGTAAAATCACCATTTCAATGAGCTGCTGTGCAAAATGAGCTGTATATCTCAGACATATGATCACTTAAACTCTTAGTTGGTGCAATTACTCCCCTGCACGCAGTCGATAGTTACAGAGCCCTTTGTTCACAGACTCTGCGAGGGACGCCCTGACTGACCTGGACGTGGCCGGCATACTAACCATTCAGCTGAAACGGGCGCCGGACGCAGAACGCCGACATATAATCCTGGAAATACTAGGTTCACTGGGCGAGAGCGGTAAGACAGGAAGGAGGCTACAGTAAGAGAAGGGAAAACTCCTGGACTCTATGAATTCATATTTTCAAGCCAGAGGGTTAGTTTCAGCTAAAAGTCAAGGTGTGTCAATGTGACGCGCAACTATAAAAAAATGGAATGAAATATATTTCAGGAAGGCTCTTGGGCATTATATATTGCTTTCAAATATGTATTCTCCTGCATATCAACTACAACTAGCACATATCTAAGCATGAAGAACTCATCCTCTTCATGTGCATGTGTCACTTATTCAACTCAACGCTAAAGTCATTGATTTGCCTTTATTGGACGATAATGTCCACTGATAATAATCACAGAATAACTTGTGTTGGACCACCAGATACACTGAAGTTGCAGTTCGCAGAGTCCGGAGTCCCAGAGGCTTTGTCAGAGATGATTCAGTGTCTGCAAGGAGGTTCTGACCCACACGACCTCTGCAGCATTAAGATCGCCTCCAACCTCATCGTGTCCCTGCTTTTGGGAGGTGAGAGCAGCTTTATTCTGTCGCAGACTAAAAAGCACAATAACGAGTCTGAGTAGCAACGACGAGGAGATGAGGTCACTCAGGGTGAATAACCCCAAGAGGGACCGAGAAAAAGGGAAATATGGTCCGACCGTGCAGATCTGAATACACAACACAAAAAGGAAACAGGGGAGATCTTAGAACAATCACACAAGGCAATCTGGCAGGGACAAAGTGAAAGTAAATAGATTGTTTGTTTTTCTATTGGAAACATCTGTATATTCTAAAGGGTTACCAACAGAACATGATCACAACTTTAGAGACCACCTCACTACGTGCAGATATCTTGTAGCATACAGAATTTACCCCGAACGAGTACACTTTGGCCCACAGAGCAAAACCTAAAAGAAAATATGTTTTCTAATACCAAACAGCCTTTCTTATTAGCAAGGACCAGTGTATCTTACACTGGAGTCCAATCATTCAGAATTAACCCTTCACGTTCAGACAGCTATCAGATTCTCGTCAATGGTTCCAGATGCTGGTTTAGTGGTTATGGAGCTGGTCATGGTTCAACACTGTAATAATGATGCACGAAGTGATACACACAGTACAGAATTATGTTTGAGATGAACCCATGTTATCAGGCTCAAACAGAATTTAATAATAATCAGGTCTTCTGGAAGGCTGGTCTGGTTTATGTCGAGGCCTACCTGAACTAGTAGTGGCTTCTTTGTTAGGGCCCTCCTCTTGCTTACAAATATTAGCATCCTACGGCAAACGTGGCTCAGAGAGAGGGCGGGTTGTCTGTCGGTTCGATCCCTGTCTTCGCTAGTCTTTGTCGATGCGTCCTCAAGTGAGTCACTTGATCCCCTGTCATCAGTATATGATGAAGTTTTAAAGCTGGCTATGCCACTGCAGTCATTTTTCGTCTAGCCTTTTGCTTTGACCCTAAACTGGGCCAACTTTTTTGATCCATGTTGCTCAATTCCCATTATTAAAGTGTGCTGTTGAGTGATTATTATAACAATTGTTTTGTGTCTATCTGTGTGCCAGATGAGTCTATGCAGAAGTGCTTTGGCGAGGGATCAAGTCTGGTATATCAGGATGTTCTGTCCTGGCTGCAGAGCCACAACACCCAGCTGCAGCTGTCCGGAGCTCTGGCCATCGCCAACTTCGCCAGGAACGGTGAGATGTATTTTTCAGATAAGAAGGCAGATAACTGACATCGCTCACAGGTTTGTGAAGGTACTAGGCAGCAACCTGTGGTTGTGCCGAGTGAAGTCAATGTTAAAACTTGCATTCTCTCTGCTGACCAGCAGGTGACTATCCTGCTGTTTACAATCAACACTGATTGTACAGAAGCCAAGGAGAAAATGACTCTACTTCTCTCTGTCTCTCACAAACATGAGTGTATGGTCCCTCTAGTTTCAAGTCTTCTTCCATTCATGTTGTCCATTTAGTACATTTAGAGTCAAAGAGACCATAAAGCAGGGTGTGCTTTGAGGCGGGGCTATTGTGATAAACAGGTTGCTCCATCGGCCATGTTCCATAATCCAAACACTAGGCTTCAAAACAGCAGCCTGCAAACAAAGGTGCTCCTAAAGCAGTTAGCTGTGTGAACTGTGTCCCCCTCGACCTGCTGAAGTTGTTGCAAAAGCGTGAAGCCCACTCTCGGATTCCCTCTTAGGTTAACACTAAGGCTGGTATCAGCTGCAAACAAAGTCCTGTAATTAATCTGTCAGGTAGTGGTATGTAGAAGGTAGTGGTGGAGGGTAAACACGTAAACGCTGTTTACGCACCTGTGGAATTTTGGAAATAGGGTTTACGCACCTCTAAATAGCGCCTTGTATTCTGTTGTTGGAATAATCAGAATTACATCTGGTGTTATTTTAAAACACCTAAGACTAAGTTTCATATTGTTTGGATTGTCCAATGGTTAAGGAACAGGGGAAGTGTTTAATATTGTCACGAATGGGGGACAGGAGACAGCCATGAGGTGAGTACAATAGTTTGACACGATAACTGAAGCAGTCCTCGGGGGTCCTCGGGGATACCGAAGTTTCGGAAGACGTGATTAAAAAGGGCCTCCGCGGCCTCAAGCGCAGGGGGAAGCCTCGGCAAGGGGATCAGCTTGCAAGCCTTTAAAAAGCGATCCACAACGACGAGGACACAAGTGCGATTACTGGATCTGGGTGGGTCCGTCATGAAGTCAATTCCAATGTGGGACGACGGTCGTTGTGGGATTGGAAGAGGCACAAACTTGCCCTCCGGAAGTCATTTCGGGGTGTTGGTAATGGCGCAGACCAAGCATCCCCGAACCAACCGGGAAACATCCTGCGCGATGGACTGCCACCAATACCGATTTCTGAGGAGCGAGAGGGAACGGCTGCTACCTGGATGTCCAGAGCCCGGGACGGTGTGAGCGGAGTCCAGAAAGGCAGCACGAAGATGGAGAGGTACAAAGACACGCCCCTCTGGGCATCCCGGCGGAGCAGGGCGACGACTGTTCTCCTGGGAGATCTCCTCATGAAATGTCCCATATGATTGGGCTGACAACCATGGTTGGAGGGAGAATGGGTTCTGTTTGCGAGTCTTTGATGAAGACGAGAGAGAGCATCTGCCTTGCAATTCTTGCTGCCAGGTTGGTAAGATACGGTAAAATCAAAGCGGGTAAAGAAGAGCGCCCACCGAGCCTGGCGGGGATTCAGCCTCTTCGCTTCTGAGGTACTCCAGGTTGCGGTGATCGGTTATGGTAGTTGGCTCCCTCCAGCCAATACCTCCATTCCAGCTCCCGATATCGTAGTTTCGCTCCGCCGGGGACAGTTTCCTAGAGTAGAAGGTGCATGGATGGAGTTTGGGAAGATCACCCTGCCGCTGGGAGAGACAACAACAACAAAGGGTATATCAGGGTTAGGATGAAGCTGAGAATATCGTCGATGTAGACAACCACAAATCGGTGGAGATATTCCCGGAAGACCTCATTCATGTAACCCTGGAAGACTGCAGGGGTGTTGGATAGTCCGAAGGGCATGACCCGATACTCATAGTGGCGTGACGAATGCCGTCTTCCATTCATCACCCCTTCGAATGCGAATCAAGTTATACGCACTGCGAAAGTCGTGCTAAGAAAAGATGCGGGCTCCACGCAGCTGCTCCAGCGCTGCTGGGACCAGAGAAAGGGGATAGCTAAACTTCACAGTTTGATAGTTGAGATGACGGTAATCAATGCACGGCCTTAAGCCTCCATCCTTCTTAGCCACAAAAAAGAAGCTGGAAGCGGCCGGGGATGTAGAAGGTTGAATGTACCTACGTTTAAGAACATCCTCCACATACTCCTCCATGGTCCTTTGCTCCGGAATGGACAGAGGATAAACACAGCCCTTGGGCAGGGTGGCCCCAGGTAGCAGGTCGATGGCGCAGTCCCCTGGCCGTTGAGGTGGTAGTTTGGTCGCTAACTGCTTGCTGAAGACATCCTGGAATGCTCTGTACTCCGCCGGAATCTCCACCTGGTGCTGGATTTCCGGACCTTCCAGGGACGTGGAACCAACGGAGAACTCGGGCCTTCCCTCCGGAGATGAATCTGAGGGCCCCTTCTGGACCTTCTCAACTGAGGCTAGACAGGAGTGGGAGCAGTCCTCTCCCCAGCGAAGGACCTCCCCGGATTTCCAGTCAATAGTGGGTTGGTATTGAACCATCCACGGGCCTCCCAGGTTGAGCTCTGCAGTGGAATCCTCCAGTACCATGAAGGAGATCTCCTGCGAGTTCAGGCAGCCGATGCGGAGAGTCAGTGTGGGGGTGAAATGGCGAATTAGACCTCGGCCCAATGGTTTGCCCTGGATGGTGTGGACTTGGAGGTCTTGGTGACATTGCCACTTACGAAGGTTCAATTTTTGTAGGAGTTGGGGGGACATGAAGTTCCCCGCCAAGCCGGAGTCGAGGAGAGCTTGCGCTGCAACACAAACATGGGCGGTTGATAACTGAACAGTGGTGCGGATTAAGGTTGAGATCTTTGGCGGAATCTGAATGGAGCTTACCGCCGGGCGTGGAGGTCGAATAGGGCAGCCGCTGATGAGATGCTTGTCATCCCCACAGTATAGACAGAGATGCAGTTGAATCCTCCGCTGCCGCTCCGTTGATGAGAGAGAAGTGGAGTCTATCTGCATGGGCTCGGGTGCTGGAAGAGCGACAGATTGTACCGAGGACAGAGATTCTTCAGCGGGATCAAGGACATCACAGGCAGACAAGCGTTGAGAAACTCGAACGGTTTTCTGGATGAGGCTTTCAATTCCCAGGGAATCCTCATACAACCACCAGTTGCCGGATGTTGGGGTTGAGACCATGTCGAAAAGCAGTCATCAACACGGTCTCATTCCAGCCACTAGCAGCTGCCAATGTACGAAAAATGAAGGGCATACATACTCAGTGAAGACTTTCCCTGACGAAGGTTTTAGAGCTGATCGTGAATGGTGGGATCAGAAGCTGTCTGACCAAATACTTCCTTGAAATGCTGAATGAAACTTGGAAGAGATCTTACCACAGGAGAATCAGAGTTCCAGATGGAGCGCTCTTCCGGACAGCAGGGAGATAATAAATGCTACTCGAGCGGAGTCATTAGAAAATTGGTGCGCCTGCATTTGGAAATACAGGGATACCTGAAGCAGAAAGCCGCTGCAATCCTCCGCCTCTCCGTGGAAGGTTGCTGGTCGAGCTATGGTACTCACTGAGGCAGCTGGTGAACCAGCGGGTGGTTACGGAGAAGGGCTTACGGACTGACGGACAGCCTGAACCAGTTCCGCGAATGGATCGCGAGCTGGATCCTCCACAGGCTCTGCATGATTCTGCATATTGTCTTTGGTCTGGTCTTCTGTCACGTATGAGGGACAGGAGACAGCCGTGAGGTGAGTACAATAGTTTATTGACACGATAACGGAAGCAGACGGAGATATGAGGAATAGGCAGGCAGATGACCAGGATGGAACGTTAACAGGACATAGTCCGAGTTCCAGGTTACGGACTGGAGGAGAGTCCCTTGGAGAAGCCGGTAGGGATTCAGGTTCGTAGCTTGGAGTCTGTGGTGTCCTGTAGAGACGAGACCAGACACTGAGTGTGTGAAGAGGAGCCAGATATAAAGGGAGGTGAACTGATGAGGTGCAGGTGACGGTGATTAGAATTCAGGGGACTGTGAACGAGTGGGAGGAGTGAGTGAAGCTGGTGGGATCCTGACAAATATACTGTTAGGGTATATTTAACATTGATAATTCATAGTTTACCCACCTCTACCTTTACCGCTGTATCCCTGTATAAAAGTATGTATAATGCAATAGTAAATGCAGTGTAGGTAATGTAGACTAATCAAAGGTTTGTTGGCCTGGTGTGTTTCTGTCAGACAGTAACTGTGTGAAGATGCTGGACCTCGGTGTGGTTCCTCACATCCTCACCTTGTTGGAGCAACATGTCGATGAAGGAGACGTGTCCGTTCAACATGCTGGACTGAGCGCACTCAGAAACCTGGCCATCCCTGGTAAGGACCAAACACTAGAGATATTAGAGAACACGTATGCCCTTTCTTTTTAAAGTGAAACACTGGAAGTTTTCAGTCATTTGATTTAATGTCAACACACCACTGAAACAAGCCAGTTGAATCGTGTGGGATCAGTGAGGAATATAAATCGTAAACATACTTGAAAAGGTCTTACATCGGTGACATGTGTGTCTTTCAGCCGCCAACAAAGTGCGAATGCTGGAGGACGGGGTGACCGAGAGGATAAAGACCCTGCTGCGCTCTGACATGCCGCCAGTTCAGTTCAAACTGCTGGGGACACTACGCATGATGGTGGACGGACAAGGTGAGCACGCTGCGCATTCAGTACCAGGTGTGACATGTATAACTACCACTGTAAACTACAGTTAAACTACAGACAAAGAGATACCTGGAACGGGAACTAGCACTGGGCTGCAAGCTAACCAGTGGTAGCAGGATCTAAATTATAAACATCAATATAATCATTAATGTTCCCTGAGATCAAAAGCACCACCCTGAGCTAACAGGCCAATAACTAAACTATAATATAATTTATATTTAATTATTAAGAGTAAATCATTTTGAACGTTTAAGTTTGAGTACCGTCTGTCACCAGCACACAGAGGAGAAGGGGAGGACGGGTAAGAGACAAACTAAATACTGTAGTAACCAGCGTGGACCTGCAGAGGAGTAGAGAGGGAGCATGGTGGCAGTGAAATATGACAGAAATATGAAACTAGTGGTGGTACCGACTACTACCAGCAGAGAGAGAGGAGAATGACAATCAGTAGAGAACCGGCTGTCACACAATGGGCGAGCAAGTCAAGGATGGCTATTAATTAAATCACAGAGGGAGACAGAATCAACCATCGTGTTAGTAACGGAAATCAGACTTTCTGGTTCTTCTGACTTTGTTTCCTTATGGTTGAAATGCACTTATTGTAAGTCGCTTTGGATAAAAGCGTCAGCTAAAAGACACAATATGATGTAACAACTTCTGAACTGTGGAAGATCGCTGGATAGTCCTTCCTGCTAAGGAAGGTTCTAACTGAGTGAAATGACCTGGAAGTAGTGCAAGCGGCACCATGATGCTTCCTTAGTTGGCTCCTTTGTCATAGGAACCACTGGACCATCCTTCACGAAAGGAAAGGAGATCATTCTGTCCCACAATTCCTCGCGGCGGCAATATTTAAATTTCACCACATGGATGACCAGTGGGGCACGCTCACATGTCATGCACTGACAGACGGCCATGAGCGGATTGATTTACAGTCTCACAACTACCAACAAGCCCTATTCCTCTAACACAGCTCTGTATTCTATATTCGCTTCGTTATAAATCGACAGATCATTTTGTCTCCAATAATTACAATTGTGGACGTCTCCAAATGTCCGGGTCAGTCCGCTCCAACGGTTTCCCTTCACCCACCCCGTGTGCTTTGAACGTGTTTGAGTGTATTTACATGTATCTATGTGTGTGTGTTAGAGGAGGCAGCTTTGGCGCTGGGGAGGGACGCTGTGCTGCTGGCTCGAGTCATGGAGTGGTGTGAAGCCAAAGACCACGCAGGAGTGCGAGGAGAAGCCAGTCGCCTCCTGGCTGCCCTCATCAGGCACAGCCGCAGCCCCGTGAGCCCTCATGAACTGTGCAGTTCTTCATTTCTTTCCTCTAATCAGAGCTTGTGTTACATGTTAACGTAGACACAGATACGCATCTCTCTCTCTCTCTCATATATATATATATATATATATATATACACACACTTTAACTGGACATCATTAATGAGTTGATTTCCACTCTCTCACAGGAAGTTGTCCATGCTGTGGCCAAAGCGGATGGGGTTCGGCACCTTATCTCCATGGCAACAAGTGAACACGTCATCATGCAGAACGAGGCCCTAGTTGCCCTGGCGATAGCATCTGCCATTGACATTGGTAATGCAATTTCAGAGACAAGGTTCTAGACGCAAAGTTAATGGTAATTTAAATAAACGTAGAACTTCGTTGTACCATGTTTCTATTACATGTGACTTTTATTAAAGTTAACCATGTGCATACACATGGTTAACTTTATTTTCTGGATTTTCTGGATATGGAAAATCATCCTACGCTTTTGATTTTCTGTAGTGCTTTTTAGTTTTTAACCATTTAAGCAATGCACTCCGGATCCAGATGATGTCGATACATATGTGTACATACGTGTTGTAGCCACAATAAGGAGGTCAAGCAAATCACATGCACGTTGTTGTATTCAAGATAGAGTAGAATGACGAGCCTCCCTGGCCCAGAATATTCATAAATACTCACCTCCTGGGGTGATTTTTTAAATTAATCAGTTTTAGAATAGATTTTTGTATTTAATATTAGCTTTGAAATCAATGCATGTTGTTTTTCCCGTGTTGTTTTTAGAAATGCACCGAGCAAGTGCCACATATCCTCTCCAGCTGGCCCTGTGGTACTTTTGGTACTTTTATCTCTTGAGGGACTTTGAAATCTTTCAGAATTCAACTTTTTATTGACTTTGCTGTGTCAGTCAGTCATCTTCTATACTGCTGGTCCTTGCAGAGTCCATCCCAGCTAGCATCGGGCGGGAGATGCAGAAACAGATTCACACACCTACACGCAATTTTAGAACCACCAATTAAGCAGTCTGGACTGGGCCGGAGTACCCGGGGGAAAGCCACTGGGAGATCATGCACACCCCGCGCAGAAAGGCCCCCAGGAGCGTTTTGCTGCGAGGCGACAGAGCTAAACACAAAACCACCGCGCCGCCCCATTTCATTGTCATAAGGTGACCTGACCTTCATTTAGTGATGTGGTGTTTCCCTGTTTGTTTGTGTGTGACTACAGAGTCAGTGAAGGATCCGTTCAGGGAGGCGGAGCTGTTGCCGATGCTGAAGAAGATGTTGGAGGATCCTGTTGGGGCGGTCGAAGTCAAGTTCAGTGCTTTAGGTCTCATCTGCAGCCTGGCTGACTCCAGTATGTGTTTAGTTATTAATTAAAAGACACATTCTCAACATTCTGCTCAAACACAGCATCTTAAAGGAGGAGCGTGTAGGATTTAGTGGCATCTACTGGTGAGCCAATTGGGCACTAAATCAGGAAAAGACCAGGGGCCAATTCCTCCCACGTGGTTAAGCTAAATCATCAATCAATCATTAGCCAGCTTGAATTAACCCGACCATTGAAGTCAGGTTTGGTTCCTCAAACGCTGATCCGCACTCAAACAATCTCATTAATTCAAATCAAACTTCTGTGATCACGACGATTGTGCGTACGCGTCCTATTTCAAAAGGGTGAGGAGTCGATCACCGAAACCAGGATCTTCTAACAGCACAAAGTCTCTTTTCTCTCCGGAGCAGGTTCAGGTGCATGGATGTGTTGCTGTGGTGCATAGCCAAACTGGTTTTGCAAAACCGAAAAGCAAGACTTATGAAAACTTATCCTTACTCAGGTAGCCACGTACGAGGAACGAGGTCCTGGCCTTTCAGTCCACAGCGATCCTGCGGGAATAACCACAGTAGTGCCTTATATATGTATATGTATAGCAGTGTATGAGAAACTTAAAGGACGCTGGTCTCTAAGAACGATTCTACAACGGATCTTCAGGTGTGGTCCAACGACGGTTGCAGGAGAATTCTAAACACACTGTGTGTCTCACACTTCTCCCTCTTCTTCTCCCCCTCGTCTGCCCCAGATGTAATGAAGATGGAGTTGCACTCTGAGAACATGAAGGAAAGCCTCAGTGCACTGACGGAACACAGCAGCAGTAAACTTGCCTCTCAGGCCAGTTCCATACTGGCCACTCTCAACGACACCAGCTAAACCAGCCCGCTGCACAAACCCTGCATCTCATCTGTGGAATCCACTGGCTTCTTCAACTGCTCATCGTCAGTGGTCCTACCCATATAGCTACACGCATATGCATAATGTCTTCTCACAATACACCTCTGTCCTCACAGGAAGTTAGGTTTAGGCAACAACGCCACTTTAGGAAACATCAGTTAAATAACTCCACAACCCCACCGAGTGACTCGGTAGTCACTGGTTCATTTGTACGACGGCTCTCCGGTCGTCAGTCCACACACTGGCCAGCGAGTAATTCACAAGTTTATCGACGTTAAGGATCGACGCAGCTAAAGACGAGCGTGACAAAGTAATATCAGCGTTGACTTTTGGTTCCTGAAGGGACAAACGGTGGTTTGACCCATTTACCTCCCGCCTGCCACCTGTGGACCACCGGTCTCCTCGTCCTACATCACAGAATGCTAAACAGTTCGTCAACATTGTCCACTGATATCTACCAGCTGTTTAGTAGACATTCACTGTGCACAGCTGACATTTAGGGCAACGGGTAGATTTAGTGAAAAGTTCACTAATGGAAAGGTTTGTGCCTGGTGAGCATGATGAATTCAGAACGTTTCACAGTAAAACTGTCTATTTGATTTTGACATTTCTTCAATACAAATGCACAGTAAATGTGGCGTTGAGCCGTTTACACAGTGAAGTGATGAATAACCATGATGACAATATGGCAGGAGTTCCCTATAGTTAACGCTTGCGCAGACTACTGTACATGCTAAGGGCTTTTATTGTGAAAAGTAAGGGCAGAAGGAGAGGATCTGCTGTGCGCTTCTTTTGTCAACGCTGAAAGGTGCAATGAAGTTTCCCGTCTTGGTTTGGAGTGTTGTACACTGCAGTGTGCATTTGGAATATGTACGTATTTTGTGTACTCATGTCTATATGTTAACGTGGAAATGAGCTAACACTCCCTGTGTGTAAAGGCTGTGAGGTATTTTTCCCTTAAAGCATCAAATTACTACTGTCATTCTGAATAGTGTCGAACAGAACTATTAATGCAACCACTCTAACAAGCAATATATACGTATGGATAGTAGCAAACATCTTGACCCAACTCAACTTGGTTATGCTTTATTAACTGTTTCATGGATAAAGAAGGAATTGTTTGGTCATTGTTGGGCATCGTCAAAAGGAATCAAAGTAGCTTCTGCTTATAATCCCCTGCAGAGGAATCATGCTTTGTCAGCCTGCGGTCGTGTTCACAGTGCACTAGAAAACCCCGATCAACAGCCCTGATTATGAAGCACAACGCTTCATAATCAGGGCTGTTAATTGGAAATGAGTCTTTCTGTGGGAGCTAACTTGTGGATGCAGTTTGCACACACTGAATTCTAATTATTAATTCAGGCATGATGTCCACAGAGGGTGCGGCTTCAGTACAATTCATTAAGGGGAAAAAACAATACTGTCCTTCCTGCAGACTGACTGGCTGGGAGTCATTATCATCCAAGGGTTGTGGTCAGCTAATGGCCTCTACTCGTTCCTGTCAGGCGTTGGCTTTGAATGGTTAGCCTGGTATGGTTTAATGTTAGACCTTCCTGTGTGATGTTAAGGCCTAATGGTGAGAACACGATGTTTGACAGAGGAATCCTACAAGCACAATGTGAACAAGCCATTTGCACAACATAATTGAATCGCATGCATTAACAACTTGTAAATACAGAATATATAAGTGTACACCAAGCAAATCAGTGTGCATCTATAGTTGAGTATAGAGGAAATGTGTGGTCCACACAACATGAATCATTTAAGAAATGGACAGAAGCCGCAGTTCTGCTTTAATATTTCATGTAATATATGTATTGACATATTTGGTATTGATAGCTTTCACTTTAAATCAGTGAACAAATCTGTATATTTTTCAGGGAGGGCATTTGACCTTCTCTGAGCTTTGTGCTAGAGAGAAAATAATAAAGTTATGCCGTGTCATCCCCAAAAAGGTGTCTATTGGTGTATTTTTGATTTGATAAACAAAGTGTGTTGACCTCTTCTGTTGTCGTGTACAACAGTGTGAGAGTGACTCACATTTGTTTTTCTCTGCTGATAAAGTAAACCAATACAGTCCACATTAGTGATGGAGATCTTATCTAACCTACAAGGAAGCACTTAAAGTTGCCCAACTGCAATTTTAACTCATATGACGAGGCAAAAAATACATATTCAAAACATGTAAGAAACAATATTAAACACTACTGCAGTGTAAGAAGGCTGTCAGTTAATATCACTCTCCACAGGGGTTCGTCCGCTCTAAAAGGTTCTGCCGTCCCATTCACAAAATATTCACAGGTTAAACGCCAAGCCAATAATGGTCAGTAATGAAGACGTGATGTCAATTATTAACATACTTACATCGTCAAAGGTGCTTAACTAACTCAATTATGGAAACTCCCTAAAACAAAGCATTTGTTGATAATCAGCACGGTTTAATGTATTAAAGCAAATTCACTGTATTCTATGAGGTAGTGTATTGAGAAACAGGAAGACGCTAGACACTCTGTAATAATAATAATAATAATAATAATAATAAGCAGCCCACTGGACCAGACTGTCAGAACCCAGCAAATGCCAAAGCTGTACTACTCAAATGCAAAGGCACGACGAAGGAAAAAGGGAATCATATCAGAACTGATCAATGGAAAACACAATTTTAAATTGGGGAACGTGTTGGGAAAAGCACCTGTGAAAGTACACAACATCCTCATTGATCAGCTCCGGTAACAATAGAGACGCTTTAACTCGTGTTCCTCCGTCCTGCTGCTGAGAGGATGAAGAGGATGAAGAGGAAGAAGAGGAAGAAGAGGACGACTGCTGCCCGAGTCTGCACCTCCGCGACAGCAGGTGGCGCTCAGCCCCTTTCATGCTGGCTTGAGATCCGCCAATCAGGAGGGAGAAGAAGGAACCCGGAAGTGCAACGCTCGCTCACGTGACTTGGGTCCGATGCCCTGAGCTGAGCCACGGCTGGGACGTGAGGTGATACACGTTTGTCAAATTTGTCCATGTCAAAGAAGTAACTGAAATGAAGCCGCACACTGACGTGTCGCCGGTGCGCAAAGGTGTTACGCTGCTTCCGCGCGCGCGCGTTCAGACTGACGTCCATACGTCACAGGGCGCGCCTTAGGACCCGTGCTAAGCTCTGCTAATACTCACCTGCGGTCACTCCGTCGTCCTCCCAAACAGCAGAGGGCGCTCTGACAGAATGAAGGGCAGCTGTCAGGTGTGCGCATTCATTCACCTCCTCATGGGCTGCGGTTCCCCCGCAGGGCAGAGGAACATACGTCAATATAAATGGTGCTTTCATCAGATAACTACCGGGGCAGCTGCGTGGTGACGTGCGCCAAGTAAAAAAATGAATGGGTGTAACGTAGGAGGAAGTAGATTTTTCGCGGGCCGTGAAGGTGGTGCGATTGTTGTTGTTGTTGTTGTCGTGTCCAGGATGACGGCGGTCAGCTGTCAGCAGTGGGGGGAGGTGGCCGGGCCGGCCCGCGTGGACCTGTGGGTCCTCCAGTCCTCCTCGGTGCGCGTGGAGGTCCTCACTCTGGGCGCCATCATCAGGTCTGTGTGCTGCCGAGGGAGGGATGGACGGATGGAGGACGTGGTCCTGGGCTATGAGGACCTGGAAGGTGTAGTAAGGGACAGACATCTCCAAGTAGACTGCATTGAAACAAGGAACAAGATTCCCTATAACGATTGTAATTTGTAAATGCTGTTTTATTTCATCTCACGGTTCGTTTTTAAATTTGCTTTCAGAAGTTGTCGCATTGAGGGTGTGTTGTGTTTCCAGGTTACGCGTCGGATAAGCGGTACCTGGGAGCCGTGGTGGGCCGCGTGGCCAACCGGATCGCACTGGGCCGCTTCGTGGTGGAGGGAAGAGAGTACCGACTCGACGTCAACAATGGGCCCAATGCGCTGCACGGAGGCCTGAGGGGCTTCAACAAGGTGGGACGGAGTGCCGGAGTGGATTCAGCTTCACCTCCTCGTTGCAGGATCAGAGTTTGGTTTCTGAAGCGGACCCATTGAGTTCAGCCGAGGCACAGATGTCAAACTTGCGGCCCGCCGGAAGACGTTGCTACTGTGAGACCTACAGAAAGGTCTCCAGGCCTCGTCCTTCTGAGCTGACGGGTGCTTCTGCTTGCAATTTGTTATTTCCAATGGTTAAACTTGTTAAGGAAAGGAACAATAGTATCTTATTGATGGGTACAAATCTCCTGCCCTGCGCGAGGAGCAGAGCGACGGTCCAATAACCGACATACGGAGTCTGCTAACACACTCGTGTTAAACCACATCAGTGAAGCCGTGAGCGAGGGCTTGTTTTAGAAGCTCGTCCATCCTGAAAGAAGCATTCTTCAAGGGAGGTGGTCTCCTGAGGACAGCAAACTGCATGTGTGGATCTTCTGTGCTCCTAAAATATCCACAATTCTATGCGTATTACTGGGAAATGAGCACAGTACCTGAGTATATCCTTTCAGGATTCTATAGTATAGGACTGTTCTCTACAGCTGTAATTGATCTCTTGTAACGTCCTGTGTATGTAGAAGCTGTTTCACTGTATCGAGGAGTTTGTCTCTGCAGGCTATCTGGCTGGCTGCAGCAGTGGATGGTGGTGTACAGCTGAGTCTTACCAGTCCAGATGGAGACCAGGGTTACCCTGGGGAGGTCCAGGTGTCCGTGTCCTACACCCTGCAGGTAGGACCACCTGGGTGTGACCCAGCAGCTCCGCAGCCCAAACATTTCTCTGTTCATTGGTTCAATGCTGGAAACCAAACACCTGACGTTATTAAACTTCAATCAGTACATTCAGGGCTCTTTTGTCGTAGCATCTTTCAGACAAAGTGCACTTTGCATGTCAGCTTGTGTACTTTGCTTTGTGTGTCCAGGGGGAAACACTCACTGCTGAATATCAAGCGCGGTCCACCAAAACCACGCCCATCAACCTCACCAACCACTCCTACTTCAACCTGGCGGGACAGGTAAGAGCACGCCTTCACCCACGGGAATAAGAACACGGATCATCTTCCCAGGTTTAAGATGACCCACACGTGGTTACGGATGGCGGTTACTCGCTCATCAGGAGGTGGAGGTAGAGAGGGTGTCCCCGAGCAAGACACCTAACCTCCAAAACATGTAAACGCCACGGCTTACAAATGCAATGTAAGTAATAATGTATTTGTCATTGCAATAAAACCATAGCGTGGGCGCTGTGACTGACAGGGGGTCCAGTTTCTGTGGGTGCGTTATGAGAGTAACGCGATGGGACCGTAAGGCCTGATCCAAACCAGTCACACTTGAATATGATTCATTGTTACCGATGATCCTTTTTAGATAGACGGAAGATAGACGGAAGATAGACGGACTGGTTTGGATTATTTCAGATGAACTGAAAGATCTCTGATGTCATTCCGACTGTGTGTGTTAGATAGACGGAAGATAGACGGACTGGTTTGGATTATTTCAGATGAACTGAAAGATCTCTGATGTCATTCCGACAGTCATTCCGACTGTGTGTGTGTGTGCGTGTGTGTGTGTGCGTGTGCAGGGTGCAGCAGATATCTACGACCATCAAGTGTCCATCAGCGCTCCGTCCTACCTGCCAGTGGACGACTCGTCCATTCCTACAGGTAAAAGGAGGATGAAGTAGTTTGCGTGACGTGAGACGGTAGTGAAGTGATGTTGCTGCACTCAGGGAACTGAATACAAGGAGGACAACCAACCTTCTGCACTCAGAGGCCAACACTTTGCTCAGCAAGCATGGACATGTCAACCAGAGACACACGTCTTCCCATCTGTCCTCAGGCTCTCGTCCACGCACACAATGTCAACCACTGCCTGACTTAGTTTGAGGACGGCGGAGGAGGAATGACTCGTTGTTGTTAGTGACTTAATATGACTGGGACGGTGTCGTCTGTTTTTCCTCTAGAAACTAATATATGAATTAAAGCTAACGGTGTTTTTTCATATTCTTTGAATAAGAAGTAGAAAATAAATGCTTTAGTTTAGAAAAGGCTGCAGTGTGCCCGGCCTTAACAACTACTGAACAGCCCGAACATTCCGTATGAGGACTTGGTGGCTTCTCCACCTGCCACCAGGTCAACATGGTGCTGCCGTGTCCTCTGGTGTTTGAGATAACTGCTGGTCTCCTCCTCGTTGCTCTGCCTGCTGGTGGGATGAGTCTTCATGAGCTTTAATGACGGTGTTTTCAACACGAGTCTTGTGCTGTCGTGCTGCTTCCTGCCCTCCAGACGAACCCTCCCTCTACTCTGCAATTAGCTTTGGTTTCCTGGGAGACAAAGCTGCTACCGGCCGTTTATTTAAATCACACAATCTGCTTCAGAGGGAAACCCATCTCCAGGGCCCAATCGGAAGAAGACTTGAGGAATATTCGGAACGCGCTGGCTCGGCGTGGTACTTTGTTTGGTGAAATAAAGCCCCCCCCCCCTGAGGGAGCTGCATTGATTGGCTAACGCACCCTGTTTGGGATTATACGGCGTGTACCTCAGTATTCCTGTTCATGATGCAGTGCAGCCGGTTCCAAGTATTTATCACCAAAGAGCAGCTGCACACACAACTATGAAGCAGATCTTCTAGTTTAGTCTTCAGACGCTTACGTGCTGCATCACAACAAGATCCCAAATGTCCCCTAAACTGACAGGACATGAATCTCTCATAGTTGACTTGTGTTGCACGTTAGTGCTCGTGAGCGTTCTGCTCTCCACCTCTAACCTTTGATCCACCGATCAATCACCTGATGCTTCTGCAGGAGAGATCAGACCAGTGGACAACACGCCCTTTGACCTCACAAAGCCTGCTCTGATTGGGCCCCGGCTGAAGGAACTTCCGGGTCCAGGGTTTGACCACAACTTCTGTCTGTCTTCACCTGGAGAACCCTGGAGAGAGAGACACGCTGCCAGGTGTGCTGCCACACACACACACACACACGCACACACACTGCCGTACACACACACACACACACACACGCACCTCCATGTACGCACCGCAATGAACGCACCGCCTGTCGTGACAAGTTCCTTCTTCTGTCCACAATAAACGGTTCTGATTGTTCGTCTCAGGGTGTGTCACTCAGCCAGTGGGCGGGCCTTGGAGGTTTCTACCAGCCAACCAGGCGTCCAGTTCTACACTGCCAACTTCCTGGATGGTTCTATAACAGGAAAGGGCGGGGCCAGGTACGGGAAGCACAGCGCCTTCTGTCTGGAGACACAGAATTGGCCTGATGCTGTCAACCAGGTACGATGATGATGATGAAGATGAATAGAAAACGTTTCTTGTAAATGCCTGAGTCGGTGGAAAAAGTCATTTTTGCCGTAAATGTGTTGTTACTCAGTTTTCTGCAACACTGTAGCTTTTAAAACACTACTTCATTAACACAGTTTAGTTACATAATGTCCGTCCGTGTGTCCGTCCTCAGCCTTCTTTTCCTAACTGTCTTCTGCGTCCTGGTGAGGACTACCAACATGTGACTCGCTTCACCTTCACCACTGCCTGATGTCGCCACAAGCTGGACACGCCCACGCAGGACACGCCCAGTTTCTCTCTGTGTAACTGGGATTTGTTGGAGTTTTTTACTATTTCTTCTGTAACTACAGTACTTGTTACAGCGGTGCAGGTTGGTCTGTGCAGTGACACAATTTGTCAAACCGGACCAAACTGTTTTTCAATTAATCATAAAATAAAGAAGGACTCACCATAGCTGTCTGATGCCATTTGTTCCAATGTGTGCTGTTCAGCATGAGATCTGTTACAAACCACCTGTCCTATTTATCCCATATTAAGTATCAGGAGTAGTAATTACACTGTACAAACCGCGTGTACCTTTGCCTGCACCTTTCAGCTCAACATGGCTGCACCATTTGTAGAACATCGGGGGAGGAGGCGGGTTTGGGTCAGGGGTCATCCTACTACCCTCCCAACAGATGTGTTGCTATGGAAACCTCAGATCCATCACTCGGAGAGGCTTTTAACAGCTGGCAGTTCCAACGCGCTGGAAGGAGTCTGCCTGCCCCAAAGCAGAGAGGTGACCTCCCATCATGCACCTTGTCCCGTTTGACCGCAGAGGGCAGCGCAGCTTCACAGTCAGCATCCTGAAACTGGGAACCTCTCACATTGTTCAGTTCAGTACTGTTTTTTTATTTTCTTAAAGGCAGACAATGAAGCCAAAATCAGCATGGTTTGAGCTGCTAATATTTAAATCCCTTAAATACTTAATAGTCATAACTTACTACATGGATTTACTTTAGATTGAAATATTTGAATTTGTTCTGCCAGGCTACTATGTCAGTGTTATTTCTAACGATAAAAGGAATAGCGTAAGGACTTCAACTTGCTGACTTTTAACAAATGATTTGGCTCGCTGGTCCACTGAGTGGCTCTTGAATAATCTATATCAATCTATGCGAAATATGTAGGTGTAAATGTGTCCAAAGACACGTGCGTCACAAAGGAGGGCTGTGAAGGGAGGAACATGGAGCTGATTGTGGTGAGTGGGAGGAGACCTGGCACAGAGGAAGGGCTTGTGGGGGTGTGCATGAGTCATGGAACAGCATCTTTATGTCCGTTCAGCTGCTTATTAATCCCTTTGCACAGCACAGCTCACAGAACGATGCAGATCCCACTGGACTGCAGGTCCTCATGCTGACCTGCTGCCTATGAGAGATCCATCTGCACGTCGCCGTCCACTTGCTAAGTGGCGTTTACATCATATGCATGTGGATATAGCAAGCTCACCCCTCCCATCAAGGTCCAAGGTTCTTATTTGCCGTTTGTGCATAGACCAACAATCGAGACAGAGTGGAATTCTTGTGCAGGGCTCCCTCACACCCAACAGTTTAAAAAATAAAATAAATAAAGGCGCACTTTAATTAGAAAAATATAAAAATACACTATGCATAAGGTGGCAATATATACTGGAAGGTGGTCATATGTACACAATTAAATACAGTTTTTTAAATATCACTTTAAAAAACGTTCTCTGTTTCTGTCTCTGTTTTCAGTCTGCAGTCTGTAACTTTGTCAGAATGCACTCGGCTCCCTCGGCTCAGGCTCTTCATGCCGCTGGCCCCACCAGAGCCGCTTCACGGCAGAAGTAATAATAATTCTCAAATCAAGGCATTGTAGCTGCTTTATTACTGATTCCTCACGTTCTTCTTCTGCCTTCGATCCTCAGTAGCTTTTACTAAGTGATAAGAACAAGGTGTGTGCACCTCAATGCTTCATTTGCATTGCTTCCCTCCCCAGACGCCCCACTAGGGGGCTCGCTCCCCATTTTGCATCTTTTTGGGGTTTTGCTGGAGTGGTTCCATAAGACAGTGGTTCCAAAATTAAGCCTAAGGCAGAGGAACGGCTGGGGCGGAGAGGGGGGGCAACTTCATCATCAACCCACACAGACACACTAGTAAAACACAATAAGATGAAATTATAATGAATATTATTGCATCAAGTGTTAAAGATATGGAACTAGATCATGGTTGCACCTAAGAAATAAATATGAAAGTCAAACAGATCAAGTGCAGCCGACTTAACAGCCGTGCGGCGGGTCGAAAGGAGGAAAAGATAAAAACGGGGCGAGATGTGCCGAGATGTGACTGTAACAAAGCCACAGAAAGAAAATACAACGATATCTGCCCCTGCACAGCACTGTGACCCCACTGCCCCCTATGAAGCCCACTAAACCTTCCCTGTTTACGCTAACATTGCGATAATATGACTATTAACTGTAGAGGACTAATATAACTATTGACATGGTGAGTGTGTATCCAGCGCATGTTCCCACAAACCCACATAACGGGTAATAATAAAGAAGCAGCACACAAAACGCTTCACCCTCATTGAAACTATGACACAAAGTCAGCATCCTCAGTCCTTAGAGACTAGAACAAGGTCCCCGTGGAGCTGTTACCAAGGACTCCATAGCAACAATGGATCCTTCTGTGTTGGATGTGTGTAAACTGATGTAATTACTGCCTTCGACCCATTATTTATTCGTGTTAATCACACTCTTTTGAAAGTATTACGTGAGAAGATCGTGCCAACTGTCTCGTGTTTCAGCTGCGATCTGGTCCGACGGGCCGAGCTGCCTGAAAGCTCACATGAATCGCAGCGTCGGCCTGAAAACGGAGCAAGATTAAATGTGCAACAGGAAACAGCTCTCTTGTGCAATTGCATTATTCTGTTTGTGACTCCCAGAACACAGCAGCTCAGCCACGCACAGATGAAGACGCTGCACACACACGCCTGCAGGACACGCAGGACACACCAAGTTTGCAGCGAGCTGCGACCATGTGAGGGACCTGATCTGTAAGCCACTGAATTGTCAGATGAGGTCAAGTTGGGGGTTTTCTTGTCTCCATGTTTTGTCATTTCCTGTTTTATTTTAAAAGATTAACCTTCCTCTCGTTTCAGGTCACTCCTCCCTCCATGTGTCATCACATTACATTACAGGTCATTTAGCAGACGCTTTTATCCAAAGCGACTTACATACACTTTAAACCCATGGCTTTTTCACATTTTTGCCCGGGGAGCAATTAGGGGTTAGGTGTCTTGCTCAGGGACACTTTGACATGGAACATGGGGCAGCCTGGAATCGAACCACCAACCTTGTGCTTCCCAGCACACCTTCTCTAACCCCTGCACCAGTCGAATTGTCTTCCTTGTCTCGTCTCGTCTCCTTAGAGGGAATTTTTGTTCATCAGTTTTCTTAATAATGACCTCGAGCCTTTTTATAGTATTTTTGGTTTTCCTCCTAGCGGAGTGATTTTGAGTTTCTTAGGTATTCCTCTGTGAAGTGATTTTCTGTTTAGAGACCATTTCAGATTTTCCTATAGGTTTTTTTATATAGCTGCTTATTTTATCTCCCAGAGAGCCTAATAAAGACGGACTATTCTGGTCACCCTTCTGCCCCTGAGTCCTCTTCTAAGTCCAGGTCTGACATGAATAACTTGCACCCTGTTGAAGCAAGATGGGGAAAGCTGGGAGGTGTCAGTTGTGCGTGAATGACGACAGGTTCTCAAATAAGCCACTAAGTCACTTTCTCTTAACTTGTTCTGAAATGAGTCGCACACCGGGCCGGATTCTGCTGACACGGATAAAGCTCATTGATTCGGTCAGCTCATTTAAGACTAAGCTTAAAGCTTTCCTCTTTGATTGTGCTTATAGTCAGGGCTGGCTCAGGTTAGCCCGGACCAGCCCTGAGTTAAGCTGCTGTAGTTGTGTCGACGCGCTCGTTTCAATTCATGGTTCAAAAAGGATTGTGCGTGTTGCAGAGCGATTCACGGCTAGAACAACGCCAGGGGTCGACGGCGGCGCCTGGAGTAGAGAGGGCGCGCCAGGGACCGGCCCCAGCTGCACCCTGTCCCATGTCGAAGTGTCCCTGAGCAAGACGCCTAACCCCTAATTGCTCCCTGGGCAAAAAACGTGAAAAGCTATGGGTTAAAAATGCAACGTAAGTCAGCTAAATGACCTGTAATGTAACAACAGGTGGAGTCACGTGTTTTGTTGAAGACGACTAGAGAGTCACGTCTTTGTGTGTGGAAGTCGCTGGTTGCTTTATTTATTGATCATAGACTTTATTGCCCTGTGCATCCACACTGCTGCTTTTCATCAAGGACACATTTGTCCCGCATAAGGACGACTTTGTTCCCCTCGTTGGTGGAGATCTCCCTCCATGAATCAGAGGCCATCCGGCGTCCTCATAGTCCGCCAATGACGGCTTGTCTTCAATCTGATCCGTTCTCTCGTAAACGTTCTTTGTTTAGATAATGGCGGTATTGTGCAATGAAACCAGAAATGTGAGACCAATTCAAAGATTCAAGTTTCAAGATTCAAAGATTTTTATTGTCATTTACACACTGTTTACACCCTGTGTATTTAAATTATTGTACTTGCCTTTCCGGAAAGGCGACCAATTTTAAAATTAAAATAAAGACAAGAATACAATATTTACATAAATGTACATAAAATAAAAATAAAAAATGAGGTAAGGATAAGGCAGAAATGAGGTGACAAGGAAAAGTGCAAAACTGAGCAGGTTGTAAAAGAAAAAAAACTTAAATTAAATTAAATATGTGCAATATAAATGAACAGTAAGTGAATCCTAACAACAGGGGTCTCAAACTCGCGGCCCGCGGGCCAATTGCGGCCCTCGGGACGATATTTTGTGGCCCCATCCTTAATATGAAAGTGTAATGTTAGTGCGGCCCGCAAGTTTTATACTGTAACCCCACTGTCAGCTGCTGTGTGGGACATGTTATGATGTTCTGGTTTCCTACTGTGTGCTTGTCCAGTGAACGTGGCATGCATGTGACTGACATGGGGGGCGGGTCGTGTGTGTCGGCCGAGGTGCAGAGAGCAGGAGGGTGAAATTCAGTTTCCTGCCCTCTTTCGCGCAGGTGATCATGTGACTAACCGTTAGCATCGCTCGTTTAATAAAGTTTTCCTTTACGACTCACACTAACAACACATGAAGCATCTGACGTCACCGACGAGCGTCTCCGTCCATCACTACGCAGCTTCGATTCACGTAACTCCACGTTTGGCTATAAAGGAATTCCACGGTCACATGACCTTAGGTCTCCCCCGCTGAGTTAAAGGAGGACTAGTGTTGTAGTCTCATTCGGACCGATCCCCCAGGGTGGGGTTCAATGACTGCTTTTGAAAGTGAGTGTTAAGTTGTGTTATTGTCGACCATGCCGTTCGGACGCTAGTCTGGCCCGCGTTCGGTTGAAGTGGGCTGCATCTGGCCCGCAGCTGATTTGAGTTTGAGACCCCTGACTAACAAGCTAGCGTAGACCAGTTGTGGATTAGGTTATAGAGTCCTCTCAGCTGTTGATGGCTCTAATGGCAGTGGGGAAAAAAAGTTTCAGTCTGGTGGTCCTGCATTTGACACTTCTGTACCTCCTGCCTGAGGGTAGAAGCTTCAACAGTCCATGATGGGGGTGGGCGGCGTCATGGAGGCAGCTCTCCTGTGAACCCCGCGGTGGTAGATGTTCTGCAGAGAGGGCAGCGGGGTCTTGGTGATCTTCTCTGCCCTCCTCACCACTCTCTGCAGGCGTTTGCGGTCCATGGTGGATGTGATGCCGTACCACACGCCACCTGATGGACAGTGAGGATCAGTGAAGGACAGTGATTATCAGTGAGGGACAGTGAGGGACAGGTATCGTGGATTGCTGTTGGGACAGAGACATTTTGTCCTACTGGCTGCCATAAGAAGACAGATTAGTATGCACAGTCAGGCCCATGAATATTTAGACTTTAAGACGATTTTCATTATTTTGGCTCTGTACTCAAACACAATGCGTTTTTTAATGAAACTATGAAGACTTGTGAAGGATACAGACTTTAAGCTTCAACTGGAGGGTGTTTACATCAAAGTTAGTTGAGTGGTGTAGCAATTACAAGACATTGTACACGTCATCTTGACCGAAGGGAATTGAACAATTGGCGGACCGGCGGTTCCATTGTGTGTGTGTTATTCCCTCATTATTTGATTAACAAGGAGCAGATAAAAGGTCCAGAGCTGTGGTATCTGCATCCTATTGGACTGTAAGTCCCCTCGCCCTCCCAACCAAGGACCTGGTGTTCTTCTCCGTTGGAGAAAGTCAAGTTCTCACTGTGGAGACACCCTGAGAAATTCAAATCCACCTGGGCCTCGATCATCCAATACTACTTCATGAATGTTTTTTGTGACAAAGGAGTATCTGTTCCAATCACACTATCAGTTCTTTACACGTGCATGTAAACGTTTGACCACAGCTGTGCCTCCTCCTCAATGAAGCACGGTGGAGGCGGTGTCATGGCTGCTAATGCAACTGCTCCCTTCATCTATTGATAATTTGAGGAGGATTTCTGAAGTGTTTTTGGCAAGTTATCTACAGCCAAAACATATTGGGCGACGCTGCACGTGCAGATGCCTGCATGCATTTCACATGCTGAGGACAGCTGGAGGGAAATGGCTGGAGGAACCAGCAGGAAGGGAACCCAGCGTCTGCTGATGTCTACGTGTTGCACCCTTCAGGCTGGCATTGACTGCAAAGGATTTGCTACCAAATATTAAAAGTGACAATTTGATTTATGATTATGTTACTTAGTCCGTTACTTTTAAACATTTGTATGTATATATTTTTATAATATATCATTTCTTTGCTGCACCAATGGCCTCTTTTGGTTGTAATAAACCACAAACGATGCGCTGCAGGTAGATGCATCGCCCTCTATTGGCTTTCCTGCCACAGGAACAGACCCAGAACAACAAGAATCAAGAAAGAACAATTCTTTGAAGAAAGCCAAACTACAAAGTGCTATAAGTGTAACTGCTGCTGACGTGTCCCACGCAGATAGAGGAAGGAAGCTACTGACCACAAGATGATGACATGATTTGTTCAGATCTCCGCAAAACAAAACCATCAGCAGGTTCCGGTTTATTAGAAACCAGTGCTTGCACACAGAAATAAAGATCCTGCCACCCCCCCCAAGCCGCCCATGAGGGCTCCAGGTGCAGCAGAGATGGCGAATGAGGAAGGGATGCATTTGGAAACACTTTCTTCTTGCCTTTTCTTGACAGAGAGGATCAAAAGAGAGGCTGCTTTATCATTTATTTATTCACTACCGTGAGCAAAACCAATAAAAGTCCTCTGAATGGCGGCAGACGTCTTAAAACCTGGACGTAAAACCAAAACGTCTGCGACGTGAGAAGACTTATGTGGTTTGCTTCTCTGGGGGACTGACCCTGAACGATGAATGATTTGTACTATTTATAATTACTGTGAAAAAAACCTAATTCGAGTCTTTTCAATAACCAGAAAAAGTGCACATGTCCCCATAGGGCTGAATGGGTATTTTAAAATAGGTATTCATATTAGATCATAAATGTGCTCATTTTGGACTAATGTGCATGTGTGTGTTACACACACAGAAGTAACTGTGTGTGTGTGTGTGGGGGGGGGGGGGTCCTTAGCACCGCAGGACGGCGATCAGCAAATGCAGCATCCTCCTCCACACTGACTGACTCGACCTGACCTTTGAGGGGGACATTGCATCCTGCATCCTGCAGACTAATGCCACCCCCCGCTCCCCCCCCCCATGCAGCAGATACCCGCTTGTTCTTTTTTTCCCTGCGCTCTGCAGTTTTGAGTCTGTCTGCCTCTCTATCCTCATCTCTCCACCATTCCTCTCTCTCCTCCTTTGCGCACTCCTCCGCAGCGCACGACGCATCCGCGCCAGCCAACGATCTGCAGCATCCAGCGGGCGCGGGGCCCGACTGGCCAATGGGAGAACGGCAGGGGGCGGGACGTGTCCGCGGCGCTCACACCTCCACATATCGATAAATCAGTGGAGCCGGAGAGCGATCGAGTTTCCGCCGCGCACCGACCTGTGGACGTTCACGCCGACACGGAGACGGAGACGCAGGCGGCCGCTTGACGGGGACGCGCACCGGGACACCCGCTGACATGGACGTGTCCGTCTGACGCGCGCTCTCTCCAGCAGGTCCACCGAGCATGTCGACGGCAGAAGGAGGCAGCCAGCGCGAGGAGGGGGAGTACGGAAGGGCGGCGAAGAGGCTGAAAACGGAGGAGAGGGAGGAGGTGGAGGAGGAGGGGGAAGAGGAGCTGGAGGAGGGCGAGGATTCCGACTCCGGCTCGCTGCCCGGTAACGGGGAGCCGGCGGGGGACACGCGGGCCCGCTGGAGCGAGAGCCAGTACGACGCGGGGCGGAAGGTAAGGACCGGCACAGATTGCGTCCCCCCCCCCCGCGGACACCGTGCGGGGACCGTGTCCTCGTCTCACAGGGCACAGCGCGGTCACCCAGGAGACACCTCGCTGTCAGAAAGGCGCACCGGTGCCGGGTGGACAGCACGCTCCCATCCGGGACGCGTGACGCGATTTAAACTCGGGGAAAAGTTGAATTGGTCCAAATAGACGTCATGGTGACGTCACACGCTGCGATTTTTATCTGCAAACGACAAACGATAAGTCGACATGAATGAGGAGAGGTGACTAGAGGGGCCACCTGTCAATCACAGTAGGCCCGCCCTAAAGCTTCATGGTCTATTTACATCACAGCTCATTTAGATGACACTTTTATCCAAAGCTTTTGCATTTTTAACCCCTGGTTAGTAGATTTTGCCCCGGGGGGGCGTTGGGGGTCATGTGTCTTGTTCAGGGACACTCCACTCTGTCCTGTCTGTCCACGGTGTCTCTCGCCATAGGGCTGCTGCGATGGACCGCCGTACGCTGGGCTGTGTTTTTCTTGGTGTGCGGTGGAGTTTATTTGTGAGAGCGGATTGTTGAGATGACCTTCTGTCTGTGGACGGTTCATCTGCCACCCAGCACGCTCCCAATCTGCACACGCGGGAGGCGTGTTGGACGGGTTCCGCCTCACTTCTCTGCGATGCTCCTCGGAGGGAAGTGTGACCCCACAGTGGAGCTGCTGTCTAAAAACAGCCCTCCACGTGAGCGCAGGTCTCTCAGGCGTCACTATCCAGCACGGAGCAAACACCACCGCCGACGTGTTACGTGGTGCGCTGGCTTTGCTGACACGTCAGTATGTAGAACCAGACCGAGGTTCTAAGTTGGAAGTAGAGCGAATGGACTCTTGCATTCCTCCCAACGACTGGCTTTAAGTCCTCTTATTGAAAGCAGCCCGAGGGCTGCATGAGGCCCTCTGGCGTTGCTGGACATGGATGAAGACCCCTGCTGCGGCGCATCCTTCAGGGAAACAGAAAGCCATCTCTGCTCAGGTAATATGGCTGACGTCTCCCGTCCTCATGGGTCCACCCAACAAGAGCCGCCAGGTCCGGATCAACGACGGGGGGCTCAGCGGTCACACAAAGTCCATCGAATGTCCCACTAGCCGTCTCTGATCCCCCCCCGATGACGGACGTCCGGCTATCTCGGTTCCTCGTCTATCGGAACAGGATCTCAGGACAGTCACGCGTCCTGCTATAAAAGGGGGAAGAGTCGATAACTGTCGATAGCGCCTTTTTATTTTCTCACACGTCTTCCTCTATTGCGATTTAAATAGAGGAAGCTGTCTGAGGAGAGTCACGTGAATACAGATACTATATTGATTTAATGCGCGCATCAAATGACTTCTGCTGTCATTTGGCGTCAAAACAAGATGAACCCCCGTCTCAGGTGGGGGCGGGACTGCAGTTTGCATGGGGGGGCTGCGTAAGGAGAGAAGCGGTTTGGCTTTAAGGAGGCGCTGTAACGTATACGTGTGTTCGCTCAGCGAGTTTTCTTTCTCATTGTCTCACCGTCACAGGGTGCACACACACACACACACACACACGCACACACGCGTGTGTATTGCTGCTTTTGCCCGGACAATTGTGTTCTGTTGGGGCATTTGGCCGGTCCCGTTAGCACGTTAGCATTGTGTGACCAGGGCCCAGCGACACAGATGAATGTGTGTGTGCTCCCGAGGGACGGTGGTGTCACCTTGCTGTGTAATCAGGACGACAGGCGTGTAGTCCAGTTTCCACACACGGAGGTACGCGTGCTCCTACACGGTTAAACACGCACACGCACACGCACACACACACGCACACACACACACACACACACACACACACACACACACACACACACACACACACACACACACACACACACACGTGTTTTGATTACTAGAGTGTAATTGAGAAGATAAGAAGGCTACTTATTCATTCCCTCACCCATTCACGGGCCGATTATGGTTGCCGCTGTGGTTGGTCCGGATTACAACCCACACACACGGCCGTTTCTCGCCACACCGCCAAGTACGGACTTGTGTTCTTGGTGGAATGAGTCACGCTCGCAGGGAGGACGAGCCGCCCAACGTCACTCCTTTCAAACACGACATCGCACATGTGATGAAGCACCAGAGTAACCTGCTGTTCACTACATGTATGTGCAATTAAACAGTTAGACAGTATTTTAATTGCTCGGGCTACTTTCCACACACACACACACACTGTTACTGTGTCACTACTCAAACATCTGCTTCCTTGTGTCACCGTGTGCGCGCTGCAGGACAATGGCGAGGACTCACACCGCATCTCTCCCAGCCCGGTGGTCCATGTCCGGGGTCTGTGTGAGGCCGTGGTGGAAGCAGACCTGATAGACGCCTTGGAGAAGTTTGGCTCCATATGGTGAGACAACAACCCCTCTGTGTGTGTGTGTGTGTGTGTGTGTGTGTGTGTGTGTGTGTGTGTGTGTGTGTGTGTGTGTGACTCATTCATCACATCAAGGCAACATGTGTTGTTTCACTCGCGTGCAAAGTCAATACCGTGCAATGTGAATCAGAAGCTGTGGAGGACACGTATCCCAGCATGCACTAGACGGACCATGGTCACCATGGACACCGTGGACCAGTCAGTCACCTCTGTGCTCCGCCACCAACGCGACAGCCTCCGCTCATAATAACGATCATTTCATCACCATCATGGGACATTTTACGTTGCAATCGACTCCGATAGAAGAGCAGCTGAACTCCAGATGTGCGTTTATCTCAAACCTCCTTCGCCAGAGGGGATAAAAGCAAAGTGACGTTCAATTAACAATCATTTCAGTTCTGTTAAAACAACTATTCAAATGTGAAAATGAATATTCGAATGTAACAAACCACCGGTATGTGTGCTCAGCGGGCGCACGCCGTACTGCGTGTGTACTGCATGAATGAAATAGACATGATGTCTCCGCTTCATGCACTGCTTTGGTTATTCGCCGCTCGGAGCGTTCAACGTCGGCACTGTGAAACCTTCAGGTTCAGTCGCTGAATGAAGCCGGACGTATGTGGGAATCGCAACTTTTAAATCGCACTCTTCATCAGCACTCAGCATTTGTTTATTGTTAATTTCGTCTCGTTGTATAAATCTGTCCTGTTAATGCACAACCACATATTCAAATAGATGTGTTTTTTTAAGCAAATATTCGAACGTCCTCTTTGAGCACGTTTGACAGCCGCAGTGTGCGTGAGGTCAGATGGCTAAATCGGTCATGATGAGTCGTTTATTTAGTTATCGTCTCCATGTGATACATAAAATGTCACGGTTACGATTCTTCCTCTTTCTGTCGCTCAGAAGCTTTCGTGTGAAATAATGACAGATTCTGAATGATTGAAGGAAACGTTGTGTGTTACTGCAGTTTCACCTCTTAACGACGACTCCTCCATTATTTACACTGCATGTTGCAGTATTTATTAACCTCGCATTTACCTGAGAACCCCCCCCCACACACACACAGGTGTGCACATACATGACCTCCACAGGTTCACAGCTGTAGCTCATACGTCACGTCCATGGACGCAACAAGTGTCACACGCAGGACAGAGACGCTGCTGGAGGACACGCAGGACGAGTCCTGTGACGCGAGACAAACCCGTGATCTCTGAATGTGTTCTCAGTTACGTGATGATGATGCCGTTCAAGCGCCAGGCCCTGGTGGAGTTCACTGCGGCGGAGAGCGCCGACCGCTGCGTGTCCTGTGGAGCCAAGGAGCCCGTGTACATCGCAGGTTGGACTCCCGGCGTTCTTTCCACCCTGAAGACGGGACGTATTGATCGGGGGTTTGTAGCCGGCTCTCGTGTTCACATCCAACTTTTCATCAGGCCAACAGGCGTACTTCAATTACTCCACATCCAAGAGGATCACCAGGCCGACCAACGCCGACAACCCCAACAGTGGCAACAAGGTGCTGCTGCTCTCCATCCAGAATCCCCTGTACCCCATAACCACGGTACACACTCTCACACGCACACGCACACACGCACACACACACGCATGTCCACCTGTGTGCTCCCATCACCTCGTGCCACCACGTCATGGTCCCGTCAGGCGGTCAGCGACCAGCGACCGGGGCTTTGCTCTAAGGGGCGACCCGCTGTGCTCGCCGCAGGGGCGTCTGCACCGCCCGCACAGACACCCCTGCCTGAGTTCCCATGATGCCGAGCAGTGCTCACTGAGCCCCGCCTTCAATGCTGCGAATACATTGATCACTGAAGGAAGCGATGAAGCCGGTGGTAGTCTGGCGACCTGTCTCCACCCACTCCATCCGTCCCCATCTAACGAGAGAAGCCAGCGATGCGACAAAGAGAAGTGGTGCTACGTCGTGACAATGTGACCTTCACGCCGACGTAGAGTTTGTAGCCGGTCTCAGTTCCCCTCCGCGGATCTTCAGTGTCTGGAATGCGGAGGACGGCCTGTTGGTCGTCTCCCCTAACAGCAGCAGGTGTTTCCTCCTCACCTTCAGGGCCGCAGTGTCTCTTCTGTCTGCGTCTCTGAAATGTGCGTGTTGACTGTCTGCTTGTTGCTCTAGGACGTCCTGTACACCGTGTGCAACCCCATCGGCAGCGTGCTGAGGATCGTCATCTTCAAGCGAAATGGAATCCAGGCCATGGTGGAGTATCCTTACTGCAGCGCGCGTGTGTGTGTGTGTGTGTGTGCGTGTGCGCGTGCGTGTCGGCCTTCTCCTTAACCCCCACCCCTCAGGTTTGAGTCGGTTCAGTGTGCTCAGAAGGCCAAGGCTGCTTTGAACGGAGCGGACATCTACGCCGGCTGCTGTACGCTCAAGATTGAATACGCACGGGTAAGAGCCAGGGAGCGCGCCGGCAGGTCGGCCTGCGAGGTTCACGCGAGCGCGGACGGGCCGTTCTCCAGTGAGTCCAGATGTCTGCTAGCGTCATCGAGACGAGCAAACAACAGCACGAGTACCTCCCGGGGGTCAGCGAGGCCCGGGGGCCTCTGCACAGAGCCACAGCGGGGGAATTTAGTGGTGTTGAGAAACCAAATGTGTTTGAAGAGCCACGTATGGCGTGTCGAGGATGAGAGAGAGACGGGAACAACACGCAGTACCTCCTCCGACCTGACGGCAAAGGGTTGAATATTAAGTCGTCTGCAGCCACATATCTTTCTCCATATTACCATTTCGGCAATAAATGAACAAAACTAACTTTTAATAAATCAGAGAATGCCGAGAGAACACACAGGAAAACGCCGCCAAGGCCACAGGTTCAAACTGACGGCGATGAGACCCAGGACGCTCACGCTTTAGATACACTGTGAAGTTGCATGCGGGGGGACACGGGGGAGAAATCAGACAAACACAAGCGGAGGAAGTGAAGCTAACCCGAGACGTGAAACGGAAGCGAGCCAAACATTGTGACACCAGCGGGATGAGAACGGGAAGTGTCCGCGTGCTGCAGCAGTCTGAGACCACGCTACGCGTCTTCTGCACAAACTGCTATCATACAAGGTGGATCTGCAGGTTATCTTATCTGCTCGCTTTGTCCGGTTACAAACGAGTCAAATAGACTTTTCCCCATTTGATCAACACAGAATGCACAACACATTAAGCCCATATTGTGAATAATGAGAACAGTTGGATTCCCTTTTGCTGCAGTTACAGCGGCAAGTGTTGGGTTTGCACATCTGGAGATGGAAACGTTGGTCCATTCTTCGTCTGTGAACAGCAGTACTCGGATCCTCTCATGGATTCTTAATTGGATTGAGGTGTGGGCTTCGACCGGGCCGTTTTAAAACACGAACATGCCGTGATCTAAACCATTCCATTGTATCTGCGGCTGTATGTTTATGGTCATTGAACCGCTGGAAGATGAACCTCCGCCCCAGTCGCAAGTCTTCTGCGGACTGCATCATGTTTTCTTCAAGGATTGCCCTGGATTTTGCTCCCTCCATCTTTCCCTCATTCTGACTAGTTCCCCTGTACCACCAGCATGTTTCCATTACGAGGTTGTGCTCAGGGTGATGGCCAGAGGAAACTCTGAGCACCCTAAAACATCCCATTTTGGTCTCATCTGACCAGAGCACCTTGTCCGCATGTTCGCTGTGTCTCCCACATGGATTTTGGCAAATTCCAGACAGGATTTCTTATGGTCCACGTCCAACAGCGGCTTTCTTCTTGCCACTTCCGTAAAGGCCAGATTTGTGGAGGACACTGCTAATAGTTGTCCTGTGGGCAGATTCTCAACCTCAGCTGCGGATCTTTGCAGCTCCTCCAGAGTTCTCATGGTCCTCTTGGTGGCTTCTCAGGTTCATCTCCTCCTTGTCTGGTCGGTTTGGGTGGACGGCCTTCTCTTGGTAGGTTTGGGGTGGTGCCGTATTAGTCTCCACCCGAGTTCTTCACGGAACACACGTGTAGCCCGTCTACTCTCTGAATTGGTAAATAGGGCCCTGAGTTCTTTACTTAATTCAAATGTGTTCTTATTCCCAATTAGCTCTATATTCATATTAATATAATATGTATATACATACAATGTCAGACATACATGGAATTTGACTTGGCGGTTGGTGCGTAACAGCAGACAGTACAGTGCACGAGGAATAAAATATAATGCTATGGGTTAGTTCAAAATAAAGGAATAAAAGTTAGTTAAAAATGAAGTGCACCAGCGAACAGAAAGTGACAGGTGAAAGTGACAGGTGAAAGTGACAGGTGAAAGTGACAGGTGAAAGTGACAAGTGAAAGTGACATGTGCAGTGAGAAAGAAAGTGACTTGAGTGAGAAAGTGGGACGTCAGAGTCCGTCAGTGGGGGACCGGCTCTGTTGATGAGCCCGACTGCCGACGGGAAGAAACGGGTGGTGTGGCGGGAGGTCTTAGTTGGTGGAGCTGTGGAGGATGGAGTCAGGACATTGTCTATTGAATCTGCAGTAGGACTCATTCAGCTGGTCTGCAGGCAGAGGTGGTTCATGGAGTGGGGTTTGGCTGGTAGTGTGTGAGGTGTTTGAGGCCTCTCCAGACCGAAGCAGAGTCCCTTGCTGAGAGCTGTTGTTCTCAGACTACAGACGTTTAGCGTCTCACCGACGTGCTAAACTTGTATTTTGACCCCGTGTACAAGTCTTTGTCCCGGCTCCTAAATGCCTGGTCCTTCTGCAGGCAGGTTTGTCGTTGTTGAAACTCACCCTGGTGCATGATGGTGCACAGCTGTCCTCACAGAAGCGTGTGAGGGGTTTTACAGTAAAGGGGGTGAATACTCAACACTTTCCGATTTTATTTGTAAATTATTTTGAAATCCATGTAAACTTTCCCCTGACTTCCAGACGATGGACTATTTTGTGTTCTCAATGAAATGCATTGTGTGGTCATACCATGACAAAACGTGTAAGAGGCTGAACACCCTTGGAAGGTGCTGTATGTGTGCAGTGAAAACGATCATCTGTGATGCATTTAACTGTATCCTGAGTCGCTGTTCCTTCTTTCTGCCACCAGCCAACACGGCTGAACGTGATTAAGAATGACAACGAGAGCTGGGACTACACCAAACCCTACCTGGTCAGACGAGGTAGGACTCCTTCCCTTTATTTCACACTCACACTGACCGCGGGGCCCTACGCGGGGCCCTACGCGAGGCCCCTTTGCGGGGCCCCTTGGGTTCCACTACATGGGAGGCCCTACGGGGGGCCCTACGCGAGGCCCTTCACGGGGCCCCTTTGCGGGCCCCTACGCGGGGCCCTTCGCGGGGCCCCTTGGGTTCCACTACATGGGAGACCCTGTGATGTGGAAGGTAGGACTCACTTTCAGACCGAATACTTTTCCCTCCACTGCAGCTTTCCTCAGGTCACCAGTAGATGAAAATGTCCAGTCGCAATCAAGTCATTATGGATTAAGAGTGTAGTCAAAAACAGTTTGGACCGTTGACTTCCATTACACCAAGACTCCTCCGACTTCTGTCTCTCCATCTCCAATCTCATCACTCTCACACCAGCCAATCACAAGCCTGCACCTGCGCTTGCCATGAGGAGAGAGAGTAGAGAGACGTTGAGGGAGGGAGGGAGCGCACAGGGCGGACGTCAGGCTGACATTGCACTGCAGCTTTCTTCCAATCTCCACTTCTCCAACCAAGCAGCGACAGAAAGAGGAGGATCTCACACCTGCTGACCGCCATGCAGCTGCTGCTTCAACATGCCCAGCACGCCTCAACCCCAGCTCTCCCCGCAGGACTCCGGTAGCACCTCCTCCGTCTATGCGCTCCACCCGGAGGAGTAGTCTGCCGTGGCCGGCCGTCTGGTGCACACAGTGCCTCGACCTGCCCTGACTCTTAAGTCAGGGCTGGTTTTGGCACCATCACGCAGTTCTTCCAGCACCCAAATGAAAAAGCAGCCTTTTTAAAACGTCTCTCCACTTTGCACATTGGAGCATTTTGGATCTTTGTGGCTGGAAGCTGGTCAGCTGGTGGGCCAGACGTGTTGGCTGTGTGATGTGTCCTTAGACTGTCCCTGTCGTAGCTTTGACATGGACTCCTTCCTCATGCCAACATGTCCTCGCATGAGTATAATGAACACTCCTCCCCGAAGGCGGGCCTTCTTTTTTATGCACCACTTTCTGTGCAAAGCTTTGATAAATATAATGAATCCTAATCTGAACCCCCTGCGTACAGTAGCTGCACATGGAGGCAAATGCATGAATGTGCTTTTCTCTGCTAGATGATTGAAGGACCCATAAAGACGTGCTCCTCTAATGTACACCAGCCTTCTGCTCTATGTGCAGCTCAGAACTCAATGTTGGAATCAGTTCATTCTCTATTCAATCACTTCGGGATCTGATTGTCTCTCATTCGCCATGAAGGAAAAACTCTGCAACATGTAAAGAGGGATTCTTTCCCCACTAAACGGCAATTTGTGTACCAATACTCACTCTGCTACCTTGAATCTGTCTCATGTCTCCGTGGTGGACGGAGACTCCAAAAATAGGGATGACCTTGATGAATTGAGGTGATTAGATCTGCTTTTGAAGGAGAAACATCTGTCCATAAACCTCTCTGAAAGTGAGTCTACTATGATTCAGGTGCACAACAGAGAAGCGCTTTATTTAATCCATGATTTAAGATGACACGTGACATTTGGGGGAAGCGTTCCTTTGATGAGCAGGAGCTCCTGAAATGAGCGGTCCGATTCATGGCTTAAATATTTGAACCCATCCTTGCACTTGCCTCAAAACAAGCGTGACGTGCCTTGGCTCTGAAGGCTCCGTGTGGAGCAAACACACCTGATGGTGTTTGCTCCACACGGAGCCTTCAGAGGGTCGCCGGGTCGCTGATGCAGCCTCACAGCTCGCTGTTTCAAAAGGATTCCTGAAATGATCCATAGCGTTGTGAACTGGTCCCAACTGTGCTAAATAAATGCACATCGTCAATGTTTTATTATTTTCAATGGTGGCACATTGCAAGGACGCAGGCGGGGGGCGAGCTGCCACTGACCATTGTCTCCCAGTGGGAACCACTGGTTTCACACAATACACCGGCCTCGGTCCCACTGGGGCATCTCTTCAGGGAAAGTGCATTGAGTTTCAATGTGCAAAGCCTTCAGTGTCTTCGGGAGAAGGGTGGCGCTGGCGTCACTGGCGTGAGCGTTGAGAACGTCTGCTGCGGGCTACGTAGACCATGAAGGCTCAACGTTGTGTAAGGATTTAGATCTGAAAGTCTATTCCTTTGGTCCTATTGAAGTCTATGAGAAAATGGCTCCTTCTCTTGGTGTGTTCCCTCAGTAAACATTGTAAACATGAGGTCTAGTTGAAGTCTTCTTCAATACAGCATGATGTGCATTTAGTAAACAATGGTCCCATTTACTTTCCTGGGGTATTTCTTAAGACCATGAGTGGTCAGACTTCTGTCCCCTTATAAGAAGTGTACATAGTCACCATGAAGTCACCCATTGGTCAGTAGTTTGCTGTCTTGGAGTCCCCCCCTGCTGGTCAGCAGGAAGAATGCATCGACGTCCCTCAACAGAACCACAGGGTGACGGCTGATAAGAGCCTGACAATAAAGGAGAGAGACGGCAGGGGCCCCCAGGTAGTGTGACCAACCCCTCCAGCTACCTGCTGCATTAAAGAACAAACCAGTGGACCATCACACGTATCAGTGTAGCAACCGGTGTAGAGACGGTCGATCGCTGTTAGATCCTTGCAGAGTCACAAGGTTTCAATAATGCATGAAGGGACCCCTGCTGTGTGCTGTGTGTGTACATTAGAGACTGCAGATGCTGCTGCTGACAACAGGGACCGCTGTGCAATGAACAGAATATAAAGGAGACACTCGGGATGATTGAATCAGCAGTTCCCTTTACCTCGATATCACAGTGGAAGACGCCTGATGTCCTGGTGGGCATTTGCTCTGAAACGATCGTACGTGATTGTGTCTTTGGAATAGTTGGTGGACTGAAGCACATTTCATTTGTGTTTATTGGTGTCCTTTATGTAGTATTTCCTCCTACACTCCCTTGGCAATCCTAGAATTGACCTATGCTGCAAATACCTGGTCTGGGATCAGTTAGAGAGGACTTCTCCTCCAGTGATGTGTGTCAGAGCCTTCTCTGGTAAATATACTGTAGCTGCTCATCTTTATTTCAACGTGTTCAACACTCCTTGTGTGAAGGGCCACACATTCTTGGTCTTGATCTAGAATTCTATAATGTTCCAAATCAGCTATCTTAGTACTACTCTGTAAATCCAGTTCCCTTCCCCTGAAGAGATGTCCGTACATTGTGCACAGGATGCACATTCTAGAGCTTTTGTGTTCTCCTGTTTGTTTCACCTGCTCACATCGTTGGTGTGCTTGTAAAACGTGGTGTGTATCTGAGGAGCATTTAATGACCGCGTGCCGTCTTGGTTGATGCGCGTCCCCCTCCACCTATCAGAGCCACGTCTGGGTCCTTTCAGTGTGCCTCCCATGTGGTGTGTAGCTTGTATGTAGTCTTGTCTATACATGCAGAATGTCATGCTGTTGACAGTGATTTAATGGTCATGACGGTGATGTTTTTGTTATTATGATGGTAATGTAATGCAGGTGATGTTCATTCGTGCTGAGGGAGAAAACAGTGAAAACTTGATGCCTCACAGGTACTCTTTAATCTCTTTAATATCTGTTCACATGAGCTTCTCTGTATCACTAAACCTGTCTCTCTTTAAATAAATTCACCTTGAAGTTGTTTATTTCTTATTTGCTCACCGTCATCATTACATCCACTACCTTGAAGTCCATTAAAGTTACCAGGTTATGTTTCTGTGGGGCGGAATCATCACCACACGGTGGTTTAAAGCAGTGGTTCTCAAACTGTGGGGCACGACCCTCCGGTGGCCTGAAGTGTAGATTTAAAATAAACATTAACATTTTTTTTTCATTTTTTAATTAAATTTTTCTTTTAATCCTTAATCAATCCCACATGGGGGAATTATTCTGTGCATTTTACCCATCCTTAGTAGTTAAGGAGCTGTGTGCTGCTGTGAAGGACTGGGGCTCCAGCGTCCATCTCAAGGACACTCAGATAAACTATGGACAGAACACGGATCAAATATCATATTTGAACTTTTTGTTTTGCTTATCGCAGGTTGAACTTTATTGTTATTACCCTGAAAAGATATTCAGTACAAAATATGTGAATTAGGCTATTACAATAAGCCAGAGGTCTCCAACAGGGGATCCGAGAACCCCAGGGGGTCCGCGGAGGTACTGCAGTCGCGAAATTTTTGGTTGATGGGTTTTTTTCCATTTTTTTTGCCACAAATTTAAATGTCTTCAGAACCAGAATTGTATTTATTGTCATTAAATACACATGAACATGAATCCAACATATTGTAGTGAACGGATAAATTGATGGAGGAGATGTTATCTTTCAGTTGGCAAAGCACACATTCATCTTCCCACAGCAGCTCTCAAGCTGGCAGAGCTTCATTCACAGCTCCTTTCATGCTGATACGACAGCACAGGCACCATGGCAACTCTTCTATGGGGAAAAAAGGGAAGAAACCTCTGAGAACGTCAGAGGAGGAGCCGTCTCCTGTTGGACAGACTACAATGATGTCATGTGTACAGAATGAACAAATGTAGAAGATGAACAACACTTTCAGATCATATAACAGAACTAATCAAATAATAGTAGTAGTAAGCAGGTGTACAACAGGACCACTGCAGGGACGATCACATCACATAGACCACCCACAGCTAGAACCACCACCAGATACAACCACCACCAGATACAACCACCATCAGATAGAACCACCATCACATAGAACCACCATCTGATACAACCACCATCAGATAGAACCACCATCTGATACAACCACCATCAGATAGAACCACCATCTGATACAACCACCATCAGATAGAACCACCATCACATAGAACCACCATCACATAGAACCACCATCTGATACAACCACCATCTGATACAACCACCATCAGATAGAACCACCACCAGATAGAACCACCATCACATAGAACCACCATCTGATACAACCACCATCACATAGAACCACCATCTGATAGAACCACCATCACATAGAACCACCATCTGATACAACCACCATCACATAGAACCACCATCTGATACAACCACCATCTGATACAACCACCATCTGATAGAACCACCATCTGATACAACCACCATCACATAGAACCACCATCACATAGAACCACCTTCCACAGAAGCCTGTGGGGAGGGGAAGTGCAAAGACTTTAGGAGAGGGTAATGTCTGTGTACGATGACAGTAATAGTATGATTGATATTTTAAATAGTAATGATGATGATGGCAGTAGCAGGTATCAGCAGGGCCGTGGCAGGAGGCAGGAACATGGTCCAGATAGAATCATAATCCATAAATGGAAACCTGTTTACAGTAATAGAAATGGGAATATTAATGGTGTTAGTGGGTAGGTGTCCTCGGGGCCAGGCAGGAGTCAGGAACAGGGTCCAGACGGAACTACGATCTACGGAGACCTCCGAGGCGAGAATGTTTTTTGAACACGTACGAGCCCATTGTTTGTGTAGTAGATGAATGTGTGTGTGTGTTTCAGACCGTGGGAAGGGAAGGCAGAGACAGGCCATATTGGGAGAACACCCATCGTCCTACAGTGATAACGGCTATGGTAAGACACACGTAACTACACCTGCTGCCACTTTATCCACAGCTCCTCGTACTCCACTACACACTCCTCCACAAAGAGGTGCACCTGCCTGTCACACCTTTTCATGCAAAGAGGGCTTGTATTCATTGTTATTGGGTTGCCAACAGTAGATGACGGTCAGAACGCAGGAATCTCGTATTGCTGTGGATGGGGACAGACCTCATTTTAAAATGTCTGCGTCTGTCCGTGAGACAGCTGTTAACATCTGTAACCCTCTGTGCCTCCTCAGGTTCCCCTTGCCCCCTGCTGCCTCTGCCAGGCAACAGCAGGTACAAGCTCAGCTCAGCGGACGTTCCAGACATGGTGTCCTACCCGCTGCCCCAGTCCTCCTCCTCGTACTCTGCCCACGCACCCAGCTCCGTCGCCATGGTGAGCGGCCTCCATTCCTCCAAGATGAACTGTACCCGCATCTTCAACCTCTTCTGCCTCTATGGCAACATTGAGAAGGTACGTGGTGTGTGTGACTGCTCGCTGTTTCATGCTACGGTTGTAACTATGGTGTCACACCAGCCACAGCTGTTGGGAGGATTAGGAGAAGGAGTTACTCACAATGTTACTATGCCCGGTATGGGAATGTGTGTGTGTACTTGCAGGTAAAGTTCATGAAGAGTGTGCCTGGCACAGCGTTGGTTGAGATGGGAGATGAGTATGCTGTGGACAGAGCCATCACACACCTCAACAGCATCAAGGTGTTCGGCAAGAGACTCAATGTCTGGTGAGAAGTAGATCAACACACACGCAGACTATTTTCAACATTCATCAGAAATAAATGTGTTGAATGATCCAAGATGTTTGTGTCTGCGTTAGACCCCTTTTAATATAGAGGACATATGGTTTTATCCACTATTCATTATTCATTCACTATTTAAATTCCTGGTTTTGTCACTCAATATATCCTTAGAATAAATTATTTTGAAAACTATATATAAATCTATAAAGCTGATATTCTGTTAATAAACGGTTCATTCTGAGGCCAATTTGTGATTGATGGCCATATAAATTGAATTGAACAAAATGAGTAAGTGCTGGTACCTGGGCTGTGTGCACGTGGTGCTGTGCAGTGTGTCCAAGCAGCACGCAGTGATCCCCAGTCAGGTGTTCGAGTTAGAGGACGGCAGCAGCAGCTACAAGGACTTTGCCATGACGAGGAACAACCGCTTCAGCAGCGCCGGACAGGCCTCCAAAAACATCATCCAGCCTCCGTCTGCAGTGCTGCACTACTATAACGTCCCCCCGTGCATATCCCAGGAGCATCTACTCCGGGTACGTGGACAGCCGTGCAGGCCGTCATCGTGGACCAACATGGGTCAGGGTCAGGACATGGCCACATCACATTTAAACATTCTGTTGTTCAAGCAGATTATTGAGCCAAATATGCAGCTGGAAGTCAAAGTGTATTTAATGTGTGAAAGACCGAATGATGGAGGAGTTGTCACATATTCTCTCATCTTTTGGCAGCTGTGTACGGAGCACGATGTGCCCGGCTTCGTCAAATTCAAGATGTTTGATGCCAAACGTGAGTAGAACTTCACTTAGAGACCTTTTATTAGGTGATTGTTAAAGCTAAAATAGGACTTTTGGAGTGAGTTTGTGAAAAAGATTCCTCTCACTTCTCTGTGTGAGCTAACACATTTCTCCTACCTCCACCGTGTCACCAAGCGCCTAAATATTACTATTAATATTGCTATTATTCTTATTTGAAGGCATCATCATCCACCCAAAATCCCTTTGTTAAACACACAGATAGCTTCTCCCTCTCCATTGATGGCTCCACTGTCTCTCCTTCCTCCAACATCTGCCACTTTTTATCTGAATCAACCACATAGTAGAAGACATCCAGCCATCTGAAAGCCTCATGATCCACCGGCTCATTAGCTTGATTACTGCCGTAGCCTTTTTGAGCTGGACACTCCTCAAAGAGCTTCATGACCTCTGTGACTTGCCTGGGCCAAAAGTCTTCATTACATACATTTAAAAACAAATGATCAGCTCCTTCCCAATGAGGCCCGCCGTAGGGCACGGGACTCAAGCCCCCCTAAGCCCCGGCAGGATTCTTGTGGATTTGACTCTTTTGATGTGACATCTTGCTTCTCCCTCCCTTAGCCTCCTCTAAGACCATCTCTGGCTTGTTGGAGTTTGACAGTAAGACGGAGGCAGTGGAGGTTCTTACTGTTCTCAACCACTACCAGATAAGGATACCCAGTAAGTCCGTCTGAAAGACCCCTCCTGGCTTTCAAGCATTCGTACACTTTAATGTTCACTCTGTCAGGACCTCATACTGTCACCGTGTGGGGTATTTCCTGTTTGACTTGGGATAAATTCACTTCCTGCCCTGGTGTGTTTTCTCCCCTTCCTTGCTTGTCTGTCTTCATGGTTAGTCTTTTTGGATAGTCTTTATGGTTAGTCATGGTTAGTCTTTGTGGATATCCTTTAAGGTTAGTCATGGTTAGTCTTTTTGGATAGCCTTTATGGTTAGTCATGGTTAGTCTTTTTGGATATCCTTTGTGGTTAGTCTTTTTGGATATCCTTTATGGTTAGTTTATGGTTAGTCTTTTTGGATAGCCTTTATGGTTAGTCATGGTTAGTCCTTTTGGATATCCTTTATGGCTAGTTTATCGTTAGTCTTTTTGGATATCCTTTATGGTTAGTCATGGTTAGTCTTTTTGGATATCCTTTATGGTTAGTCATGGTTAGTCTTTTTAGATATCCTTTATGGTTAGTCATGTTTAGTCTTTTTGGATATCCTTTAAGGTTAGTCTTTTTAGATATCCTTTATGGTTAGTCATGGTTAGTCTTTTGGGATATCCTTTATGGTTAGTCATGGTTAGTCTTTTTGGATAGTCTTTATGGTTAGTCATGGTTAGTCTTTTTGGATATCCTTTGAGGTTAGTCATGGTTAGTCTTTTTGGATATCCTTTGAGGTTAGTCATGGTTAGTCTTTTTAGATATCCTTTATGGTTAGTCATGGTTAGTCTTTTGGGATATCCTTTATGGTTAGTCATGGTTAGTCTTTTTGGAAATCCTTTAAGGTTAGTCATGGTTAGTCTTTTTAGATATCCTTTATGCTTAGTCTTTTGGGATATCCTTTATGGTTAGTCATGGTTAGTCTTTTTGGATATCCTTTAAGGTTAGTCATGGCTAGTCTTTTTAGATATCCTTTATGGTTAGTCATGGTTAGTCTTTTGGGATATCCTTTAAGGTTAGTCATGGCTAGTCTTTTTAGATATCCTTTATGGTTAGTCATGGTTAGTCTTTGTGGATATCCTTTAAGGTTAGTCATGGTTAGTCTTTGTGGATATCCTTTATGGTTAGTCATGGTTAGTCTTTTTGGATAGTCTTTATGGTTAGTCATGGTTAGTCTTTTTGGATATCCTTTGAGTGTAGTCATGGTTAGTCTTAATGGGATTTCCTTTGAGGTTAGTCATGGTTAGTCTTTTTATTATATGCTTTATGGTTAGTCATGGTTAGTC